CTGCGTTCGCCTTCATTCTCCTAACACACCACACGAAAACTGCGATCCACATAAAAAATGGTGCATGTTCAAGGAAATTTATGGAAAAGGAAAAGGATATTGTTGTACAATATTATGAGTAGTTGGCAGATGCTAGAGCATCAATCATTATATTTTAATTGTAATCGCCAAGTGCCTTTGTAATTCTGGAAGGGCTACGGAAGAAAGAATAGTAATGCATTATTTATAATAAACGTGTACTTAATTGTAGGTGCATTTAAAATCGGAGTTAAGAAACCTACTTGGTGATCGTCTGATTAACACTGTCGAACAATCGAAGTTTGGGATATTGAATGCGGCAACCTCCAGCCCGCATCTCAGCCACACCCATGTCAGCGAAATTGTGAAGAAACCCTTCTTTACGTTTCAATTTACATATACGAAATTTAGTAAGGTTAATGTACCGACCTCTTCCGATTCTCAGTGTTTAGTGTCAAGATTTTTTCGTCCATCGAACTATTTATACAGTAAAAGTCAAAGATTTTGAAGAAGACCAACAAATAAATTGCTGATTGTAGACTTTCTATAGGAAATGATCGTTTGTATGTTTGTAGCTTACCGCATTCATAAATAACCTTACACTTCACGACTGACCAGTTGTCATGTGGTTGGTCAATATCAAACAACTCCGTTGGATAGAGATAAAAATCTTTACCAATAATCCAGTGTCTGGCTGTAATCATAAGCTGCTTCTTGCTTGGTGCGTCTCTAATGACTTATTTTTGTTAGCAGGCTAAATAATGCATAAAATGAAATGAGACAAAATACATGTGACAATAAGTCAATAACTAAATGATGAAAACAATTTATTGCAATACATATACAGTCAACATTCTTAATCGAAACCCATATGTGTTCATTACCGACTATCGAGCACATAAATATTCTGCCGGCTTAGCATTTCCCTCCAGAGATCCTTATCATGAACATATCACTAAACCCTGGGGCAACAATCCGTCCTCATTCTTGTCTGACTATAAATATTAATTAACGCTTGATAAAAGTGAGTTGGCTTCCCCGTCATCTCCAATGCGTGTTCACTTTTTGTTTCGCTCGCTGATATTTACTCATGTGCTCATAACTTTCTTGCCTGCGTCATTTGACAATAAACTGTAGCTGCCGCTTCTCTTTGCCTTCTGATTTTATGCACCGTTAAGATTGGTATTATAACGGTTATCAGGGTGAACAATTAACAAAGCACGGCACTACATAATTGGCTATCCCGACTTACGAACGCGAAGCAATATTAGTAACTTCAACGTACTGACACATAATTGGTGAGCCCGACGTGATATGGGCTTAACATAATAACCGATACTACAATAAAACTTACTTACTTACTTTCGCCTGTTACTCCCAATGGAGCATAGGCCGCCGACCAGTATTCTCCAACCCACTCTGTCCTGGGCCTTCTTTTCTAGTTCTATCCAGTTTTTGTTCATTCTTCTCATGTCTGTCTCTATTTCTTGACGTAATGTGTTCTTTGGTCTTCCTCTTCTCCTTTGACCTTCAGGATTCCATGTGAGGGCTTGTCTTGTGACGCAATTGGGTGATTTCCTCAAAGTGTGCCCTATCCACTTCCAGCGCTTCCTCCTGATTTCTTCCTCCGCTTGAATCTGATTTGTTGTCTCCCACAGTGACTTGTTGCTGATAGTGTCTGGCCATCGGATCCGAAGTATCTTGCGTAGACAACTGTTAATAAACACTTGTATCTTCTGGATAATGGCTTTCGTAGTTCTCCACGTCTCCGCCCCATACAATAGAACTGTCTTGACATTTGTATTGAAAATTCTAACCTTGGTGTTGGTTGACAATTGTTTTGAGCTCCAGATGTTTTTCAGTTGTAAATATGCTGCTCTTGCTTTGCCGATCCGCGCCCTCACATCTGCATCTGATCCACCGTGTTCATCAATGATGCTGCCCAGATACGTAAAGGTTTCCACATCCTCCAAAGTTTCTCCGTCAAGTGTAATTTCATTGGTGCATATTGTATTGTATCGGAGAGTCTTGCTTTTCCCTTTGTTTATATTGAGACCTACTGCTGCTGAGGCTGCTGCTACACTGGTCGTTTTCTCCTGCATTTGTTGTTGCGTTTGTGATAGAAGAGCCAGATCATCCGCGAAGTCTAGATCGTCAAGTTGCACCCTGCCTGTCCACTGTATCCCGTGCTTTCCTCCAGTCGTTGACGTCTTCATGATCCAGTCGATCACCAGGAGAAAGAGAAACGGTGAGAGTAAGCAACCTTGCCTAACACCGGTCTTTACCTCGAATGAGTCGGTGAGTTGTCCTCCGTGGGCGATTTGGCAGTTTAGTCCATCATAGGAGTTCCGTATGATATTGACTATCTTCTCAGGCACGCCGTAGTGTCGAAGAAGCCTCCATAATGTCGTCCTGTCCACGCTATCAAATGCCTTCTCGTAGTCGATGAAGTTGATGTAGAGTGATGAATTCCATTCGATTGACTGTTCCACAATGATACGTAGAGTCGCGATTTGATCTGTGCACGATCTATCCTCACGAAATCCAGCTTGTTGATCTCGAAGTTGGGCGTCTACGGAATCCTTCATCCTGTTTAACAATACCCTGTTGAAGACTTTTCCTGGTATTGAGAGGAGAGTGATGCCCCTGTAGTTGTCGCACTTGCTGAGATCACCTTTCTTTGGTATCTTGATCAGAAGTCCTTTTTTCCAGTCTGTTGGTACTTGTTCTTCGTCCCAAATCTTACTGAAGAGGATGTGTAGTATCTTGGCAGTTGCTGCTACATTTGCTTTCAGCGCCTCTGCCGGGATGTTGTCTGGTCCCGCTGCTTTGCCGCTCTTGATTTGTCTAATGGCCATGCTGATCTCTTCAATTGTTGGTGGGCCAACATCGATTGGGAGGTCTGTGGGTGCTGCTTCGATGTTGGGTGAGTTCAGTGGAGCTGGTCGATTTAAGAGTCCTTTGAAGTGTTCTACCCACCTGTTTCGTTGTTCTTCAATGTCGGTGATTACTTTGCCTTCCTTGCTTTTCACTGGTCTTTCTGGCTTACGGTAATTTCCAGCAAGTTTCTTTGTTGTATCATACAGTTGTCTCATGTTTCCCTCTCTTGCAGCCTTTTCCGCTGTCATCGCTAAATCTTCCACATATTTACGTTTGTCGGTTCTGATGCTCCTCTTCACTTGCTTGTTTGCCTCTGTGTATTCGGCTTGTGCCTTGGCTTTTTCCGCTCTTGTTCGGCTGTTATTGATTGCTGCCTTCTTGTTCCTTCTTTCTTCAATTTTATCCAGTGTACCAACAGTGATCCATTCCTTGTGATGGTGCTTCTTTTGGCCCAGAACCTCCTGACATGTTGAAACGATTGCCTCCTTGATACCTTTCCAGTTGCTCTCCATGGTAGTTCCCTCTCCATTGAGTAGATCATGAAAGGCCTGGAACCTGTTGCTGAGGGCTATGTTGAATTTGTTGAGTTTGTCAGCATCTCGAAGAAAGGCCGTATTAAACTTTTGTGATGTTGTCCGAGCCGTTGTCCACTGCTTCCTAAGTTTTAGTTTCATCTTGGCGACCAGCAAATGATGATCGGATGCTATATCAGCTCCTCTTCTGGTTTTCACATCCTCCATCGTCCTCCTGAACTTTTTGTTGATGCAGATATGGTCGATTTGATTCTGTGTAGTGTGATCCGGTGAAATCCAAGTGGCTTTGTGTATGCTTTTGTGTGGAAATATGGTGCCACCTATGACCAGTTTATTGAAGGCACATAGGTTTGCAAATCTATCACCATTTTCGTTCCTTTCTCCCAGTCCATGTTGTCCCATGACGTCTTCGTATCCACTGTTGTCCTTTCCAACCTTGGCATTGAGATCTCCCATCAGAATGGTCAGGTCCTTGGTTGTGCACTTCTCGAAGATCGACTGCAGCCTATGGTAGAATTGGTCTTTAGCGTCTTCATCGTAGTCGTTGGTCGGCGCATAGCATTGAATAACGTTCATTGTAATGCCCTCTCTCTTTGTTTTGAAGGAGGCTTTGATGATCCTTGGTCCATGAGATTCCCATCCTATAAGTGCATTTTGTACTTTTCTGGACAGCATCAATGCAATCCGTCCTAATACAGGCCATAAATCTTGACTAGAGGTCCTTGAAATAGAAAGTCCATCTATATCAATATACAAATCTAAAGTATCAAAATCACAAATACAGAACCAATGTTCAATATATCTTAGCAAATTGTCTTTCAATCCGAGGTGGTAGTAAACCCCATTGCAGATGAACTTTGGCTGGACACTTGTGAACGTCCTCAAAACACTCCTGTTGTTGCTCGGTAAGTCGAAAACAAGATTTAGGAGATCATTCGGAATCCGACCAGCATCTCTGATGCTCACACATGCTTTTTTAATTAAATTCATCAATATCTTTTTGACCCGCTTTTATTGATTTACTGACTTCTGAGTGTACAAATTATATATGAGCATCACGTAATGATCATATTTACTTAAATCTCATATAGCTGAATAGTTGTTCAACGACTGACTTCCATAACTCTGGCAACTTTTGCTTCAGCGCGAATACCACTAAACAGCTGATCAGAGGGGTACACAGCTCTTCCACAAGTGCTAATAAACAAAAAGAACACAACAGTAGGATAGATTATAGACAAACCTACTCTCTGAGCGCAGTCACATTGTGGACTTTGCTGCCGACTGAAACGGCTCAAGCAATTTTCCAGGAACCCTTTAAGAGAAAACATAACATTTTCTTGAGTGCTCAGGGCAGCATCTCATCATAATTTACCAATATTTTTCTCTTTTGCTCGTTAAATATATCTAGGTTCCGATTTAAAGGCATCGAGAATCAACTGCTACAATTTACGGAATCCTTTTAAGTGAAAGCTTATTTTAGTACGTTTATAACTATTTTAATCATATGTATATTAAACAGTTTATTTTCCTACTGGACATTTCCCCGGAATTTTGATTATTTGCGTTACGGTTTTAGTTATGTCTAGGTTCAATGTTGTTCTGGGTATAACAGTTATCTGTTTTCTTCTACATCATGGCTTCACATTGATATTTTATGTCTTCATTGCGATTCTTTCCTTCGCTGCTGGGTATTGCGCATATGTTTTGATATTTTCAATTTGTTCTTAGTTTCTTTTTAATGAAGGAACAACCTGTTGTTCATTTCCGCAGGAGAGATCTTTTATGTTCCAAAGGGATTCCAAAGGTGACAGCTATTATGGATGCTGAGGGTGTCACAAGACCAAATATACGTGTATCTCCCCATCAGGACCTAGACTACGTGCTTAACCAGGTAGTTTTGTACATGTTTCTGTTATCGCAGATTGTAAGCTACATTATCAGAGACTACATAACTCCTTGGTACAACTCGCTCACTCCTGACGATTCATTTCCAATGGAGCTCCATAAGCTTCTTTTACGGGTTGTTGCGAATGTGGTTAGAAGGTAGACGCCACTGAAGTTAGTAATTTCACTAGAGTTTCTGATGTGGATTGGGTGCCTTTCCTTACTGAAATGCTTCCGTCTTTCATGACAGCTCATGTCCGTGTCTACCGAAACATGCTGGACAGAAAGGTAGCCTATCCTGATAGAGGTATTTGTCTTATTATCTTGTAAAATTGAAGACTCTGCGAAATTATTTTTTGACATTGAGGCTGAGACGGAGAAAAGTGTATGTCACGAAGAAATCTGTAATTCTGGAGATCGGGAAAAAGGCTAGTATAAGGATAGCTCTAACTTACTAATAGACCATCTCCGTTTGCTAAGTGATATGTTTTTATTCTTTGTTACCCCTACTGAGGAATATAGTGTGCCTGGTATACGATATATAGCCCGGGTAAGTTACTTACTTTCCTAACGTTGTAGGAGTTGCTGGTTAATTCTGTTCTGATACCAATGATCAATTTGTTATCGGATCCCGATTTCGTTAACAGAACCATAGCTTGGTTTGTGAGTACACTTTTCTGTGCGTTTTTGTTAGTTATTAGTGGTTTAGTTGGTTCATGTTGTTTATTTTCCTTGTTATATTCCATTCGTATCAGATCTATGTAGTCTTGGGTTGAGTTAAATAAAATAAACAGATTCGTCCATTGTCTTTTTCCCCACCTACTTCTAATTTCCCCAACATTACACATTAAAGTAGTAGTTAGGTACATGTAATACATGCTCCAACCACCTAAGTCGATGAAGACTCACTACCACACCACCCAGTTTTCCATTTTTGCCTGGTACACTGTCGCCAACTGAACCGTTTCTCACCCTGTTGTTTCACGGTACTCAAGCAATTCGATGAGATTACATATCAAGTATCTCCAACCTACATGTGTCTCCCACTTTCACAGACCGCGCTCCAACTGATATATCAGTCAACTTAACACACACGACTGTATCAGCATTCTTAAAGACTTCCATAACCAACGTATCTAGTTTTGCCACTCTTCCGAACTAACATCAGCTAAAATGCCAAAACGCTATCGATCTAAATGGATGGATGGATTTCGCTCCGAAATCAAAGACCTGTTATTCTAAATCTGACTCGTCCTTCCATAAATTAAAGTCTTGCCATCCATTTTGCGATTGATCTGTAAGTGTTTAGCTTTTTAAAGCTTATTGGGCCTTCTATAAAACTCGACTTTTCAACAACGGGACTGTGGTAAGTGGGAGCATAAATCGAGTCGATGTATAGATTCGACTATTATAAGCCTGTTGGATACAAACATTTTTGGTTACATAATACTTTAGGTATGTGTGATATGTTGGTATGCTTTGAACGTTTCTTCTCTTGTTTATCTATCACTGAGAAACGCTGTTTCTTACATCTCGTGTGGTAATTTTTGAATATGTATTATTGATTTTCAAAAAGCGTGCTGCTACCATTCTAAAGTACTGTGAAGTTTATAAAGGCTTTTGCTATTTAGACGCAGGTAAAGATGAAAAAGTACAGATTTAGTTTAAGTAACTTGACTATCGAAAACTTTTTGTTGTCTTAACTAGTAACAAAGTGTATTTCATCTTCTGTCGAATTTTGTACGTCTGATTGCATAATCAATTGCATTTTATGCTTTGATTTCAACGTTTTTTTCTCAATAGGCATCAGATAGTGCCTATACAAGTGAATATTTTTGTCAAGCACTACGCATGTCTGAAAGCATCGAAGAGATAGATGTTGTTATCCGTCAGCTAAATAGTTTCATGGATAAACTTCGGGGTCACGACACAGGTGGCGATGATGGTAAACAGATTTATTTTTAGTTTTTGTCTTCATATTTGTTTTACTTTGTCCAGTTTTTGAATAAATGGAGTAAATTCTTCAAGACTTAAAAGCAAGAAAAATTGGTTCAGCGATTGTACAGCTTCAAATATGGATTTGCCAAAAAGAGAACTTTTCGTTGAACCAACTATTCTTGTTTTTAAATAAATCCACTACAGTTCTCGTAAATTACTGTGCTTCTATCCTTTTACGGTGCTCATGAAACAAGTTTAAGTATTTAGCATAATCAGATAAGCTAAGTAGTCATTTTGCTTGTATTTATTTTCGTTTAAATCAGTTACATTGGCTCAGTGGTTAAGGTGTTCGACTTTTGGCTACTAAGTCGCAGGTTCGATATACTGTAAATTGATGATGAACAAACTAGATTGTGGTCTGCACAGTGTCAAAAAGGTGGTCATTCTTATCTATCCTGTGACCACCGATTCCCTAGTGACCACCCAGACGACTATCCCCTGTCCCTAGGCACCCAACCTTCACATCTAAATCTTCAGCTACCACTAAAACATCTGTCAAACTTACACTTCCTGGAGAAGATCGCTTAACTGACGGTAAAACATCCTAGATTACATCCGGACTGCAGTATATATGGGTTAGGTAAAGATAACTAAAAAGCCCTGTTTCTCACTGATTCCTCACTTTAATCACTTTCAAATCTAACAACATACAATTGACCGTTAATGATGAAGCAGGCTTTTCTAATCAACAGATGGAGAGCGATTGCGTAGTACTTCACTAGAGTCTTAAATACGGGTATCGGATAGACACCGCAATATCTGTCGAATTTTTTTTATCAAGAATATCACTTAATTGGTTATGGAGCTCATCCTAGATTGGATCCGGATTACAGTTCATCACTGCTCAGGTATCGTTTCCCACTCCAGTCTCTCGCTTTGTAACAGTCTCCTAACCTAATATCACACAAACAACTATTAATTAGAGTTCTGTTGATTAGTGCCTCAGAGAAGTGGAGCAACGTCAGAAGCTGCAAATCTATGATAGCTGGTCATCAAAATGTGTTCGTATACCGTTCGTTCCCACATTATTCTGAAACCCACATATACCAATGGTTCGAAATCATGGCTTTTCAAATCCTCTAAGTGATACTTTCGTATTCGCCCACACGATTTAAACACAAACATACACTTTCGTTCTTTTTACTTCTATAAAAATCTCTCCGTTTTGAGGCGATAAAACAGTCAGAAACGACCATTTTAACTCTACAACTATCTAACTCAGAGAAAAAAAAACACGAAAATTGTCTTTCTCTTAATATGAGTTTTCAAGTACTTTAATTTGCCTCGTAGTTAACCAGCTTGGTAATCTCGTTAGCATCATTCAATCAGTAAAATTGTTATTATGTTATTTCCACTAATTTATTTTAATAAATAAAATAAGCAGTAATTTTCATATTGATTTTTTAGATGCTCTTATTAAAGCGCAACTTGGAAGCCTCGATTATGTCAGAAAAATATGTTTAATTCGTCAAAGACAAATTCAAGAAGGTGTAGCTGAAAAAGTAAGCTCTTACTGTGTCGTATTGTATTGTCTACGTATTCTTCCTTTATCAAATATTTATCTTTCAACCCCTCTCATGTTCCGCTTATAGCCCGGACGTGCATTAGCCTATCATTTACAACCAGATGCACGGATTTATGATATGTCCTTCCAAGAATTAATGACTAGAAGTGTTGCAGTTGTTTGCTTTTTAGGTAAGTATACTTCCTATATTATGATTGTTTTTATTCATTTGGATTGTATACTGTCATCTGATTGTCAGAGTTTATCTATTTATACCTATGATATAGGAATGTCTGCGCCATATTTTTTTATTTTGATCACTATGTCTCGGCACGGATTCAGAAAACCCAGTTGGGGTTTGTCAACATACCTAACAGCATAATTGAGATATCCGTCTTCCAACCAAATGATGTGTATACTTCGCAACACTCCGCTCTGTTTTACTTTACGGCTATGAGAAATGAACTATGAAAATAGAAGATATGCGTACGCTGAAGTTTTCTGATCATAGACGTCCTCAAAGCATTTTTCACGTTTCGTGGAACGACTGAATAAGAAATTTTAAGGTTTTGGGTCATTGGATTTTCGGAAAAGGTGGAAAATCAGTTAGTGACGTTGTAGATCTCCATCAACTGAGGTAGTTGGGACATGTATTACTCATACCTAACGTCTGCTTACCTCGACGATCAATACTTGCTAGCTCAAGAAGTAGGTTGAAATAAAGCTAGGGGTGGCTAAACTATGACGTGGTTCCAGTTCGTAAAGTCATTAACCGTTGGTCTGAGCTATGCTGCTAGATACATACTATCTAGTTAATGTCCTCGTGATCACTGCAGTCAGCGGTTGAAGACTTTGCGTGACGTGGCATAGAGTCGTTCGCAATGGCTGAAAAGCTTTCATTCTTTATCTTCCTCTCGATCTTAAATTCCACTATCCTTTCGTACATATTTTTCCATTCTATCTTTTCAAACTATATTCCAAAATAATAAATATTTTTTGTCATATCCCAATGAGTAGAAAAATTGTATTTCTGACGTTCCGTGACTTGATGTAACCTACTTCTTCAGCGTAAATAAGTAACCTAAATACAATTTTTCTGCTCATTGGGATGTAACAAATATATGTATTATTAACTCATTACCTAATGCTCACTTTATTTGAGGCTATCAAGTCCAACCTTGGTATTGATGCCTATTTTCCAAAAGTTTAGTTTGTCATTACTACTATATTATTTCGATCACTTTTATTACTTTCATGTCGTGCTAATCTAGTATGTTAACTTGAGACAAAGCACATCTGTACCAGGCTCCATTTTGATGATGTTTATCTGTCTATATTTTTCGATTACAGTTATGGTGACAAACCGTTGGTTTCTAAACGCTTTTATTTAATTCTTTAACATCCCATAAATCACTGTGATATTTCGTTTTAAATGGACATTAATCACCAATAAAAACATATGCTAGAATATCGTGGATTTAGGAAACTTCTATGTGTGAACCAGTAGTTTCGTAACTTGTCTAAGCAGAAACTTAAAGTTGTCAACGAGTAACCAACGTGTTGTAGTAAAAGATAGTTTTTAACTGCAATAAAAGCGAAAGACATGTTAGGTGGTGAAAGTTAATACGCGAATTCAGAAAACGGACAATTTTTAGATACTAAGGACAAGAGCACTGTATGTTTGTATCATTGTTTCACACTCTTGGTTAGTGTATATACTTGTTCATATTTCCAGTCTTTTGCAGAACCTATAATTCTCATCCACTATGTTGGAATCCTGTATTCTCCATAGTTTATGTTCAAACATTTTAAAGTTGTACTGAGAAACTACCATCCAGTGTCATAGGAAATAATTTATTGTTACTGTGCTAAACTTAATTGTGGTTATGAATTAGGTCTATCTGTTGATGGTGTGATGGGGAAAGAATTAAGCCTATTATCCATCTTATATTTCATTGAAGAGTGAAGGACGTACAAAATTAATGTCATCCAATTGTTGGTGTCATTTAATCACGTTTATTTTTGTAATAAGATTTTGTAAATAAGTATGTTATTTTAGATAGGAAACCTATTCTTATAGCTGATAGTCCTGTCTTTATTTTTTTATGAGCGGGCATGATCGATTTAATAACCCACTGTTGGCAACATCGCTGTATTCTGTTCGTTCACTTTAGCTACCCAGACCTCTTTCATCAAATCTTAACTCAAAAGTGCAGGGCATGTTCGAAACCAACTTGTATTTTTAGCCTTTGTAAAATCAATGACTCAATCTTTAGGGCCTGTAAATTTCAACACCCACTATCAACTCCTTTTTCTTGTTTAATATATTTGCTTTACATTCTTCGACTGACTTCAGTAGCATGTGGGACCAGCGCTAAAGATTTGAGCTTCATAAATATTATCACTTGTCAGTTGAAACTGTGCTTCAAATCACATGTTAATGTTCGAGTTCTATGTTAATTTAGACCTTAAGCTTCACTAACTTAAACTCTAAATTCTGATACTATAGATAAATCCTTAACACGCTTGCAGCTTAAAATAAAACGGACTGTTCATCACTGTTGTAAAAAGTGACCAATATGATTCACTGACATACATATATATATTTTATTTCGCGTATTTTTCTCGAAATTATTTATTGTTCTATTGTTGTTATCTATTTGTTTGTTGTCTGCTTCTTTCTATAATTTCAGATTTTCTGGCTTCCATTAGTAAACATTCATTACTGCGATTGTATTTAAATTGTGTAGTAAGCAAGCTCTCAGTAATGCATTTTTGATTCAATTTATAACCGATATATATATATATATATATATATATATATATGTTAAGTCTATCGTAGCGTCCAAATCACCCAATTGAGATACACACAAATTCGTAGTTCGTAAAGCAACGATTTGTCTAAAGTAGAGGTTCTTTATTGAATAATATACAAAAATTGGTTACAAACCTCAACATGTGAGGTGTCCGCGGCATTTACCTCATCCTTTTGTCTGAAATAAAAGGGGCTTCGATGGTACAAAAGACAGTTGTTAGCTGTGTCTGAACTTGATAACGGTTTATCAACAGGCAAAAACCGAACCAAGAGCGAACAATATGGAAACCGTCGCGCTTAAGCAAGGGTTAAAAAAAACGCAAAATTGTGAATAACTGCAACAATGATTGAAATAAAGTAATTATAATGATAAATACAATAAATGTTATAAGTATATGTAAATATTTCAGAATATTACACGACAAACTTGCGTTACAGCATAAACGCAGAAATTGCGAGGAATACAACTATTTACTGAATATTAATAAGTAGTTTAAAAAAATACGCAAAAGAGTAGAGGGGAAGTGAATAAACATAGAGAATGTAAAACAGACCTAGCAATATATAATACTATAATTCAAGAATACGGGCTGACAATCATGGATAATAGATTATCCATTCACAATTATAGATAGGATATACATATACACGGTCTGCGACTAACACGCTTGAAAATGAAATTAAACTGGACAACAATTTGTTGACACAATTACGAGGAGTTTACACACAATGAAGTACAAAGTAGAGGTCAGTAATGATATGAATTCACAACATAATATGTTCTTTATACACTTTCTATAAACGGTTGTTTGTCTTCACTGAATGGCTACACTTCAGAAATAGATATAGATAATTTTTTGGAGTATTTTATGTTTAGAAAAGATTGTTTATTTACGTATGGTACGAAAACATATTCATACCCCCATATACCCACAAAGAATAGTTTCACTTAGACATGAAACTTCATATTGGTTTCTTTTGATTAACTAAACTAATTTTCGTATCATAAAATTGTTTTATCACATGGTCATTGTTATAACTTAATGAACAATAGTAGGTAGGTGGCTAAGCATACCTTTTTCAATCATTTTATTGCAGGTTGAAACTCCGCTACATCTGTTTCGTCTTGTTCGATGTGGTTATATCATAAACATTTACACATAAAGTGTGGTCCACTGCCGTATACACAAACATGTACTTAGTTATCCAGTTGCATTTTAATGCAATTCAAAAAGTTGCTCCAAGATGCCTACTATAGTGAATAATTAACGACTGATTACTTATTCTGTTCTATATAGAGATGCGTATTAACTGGAAGATAATTAAATTATTTAGACTGTTAACATTAGACACTGGATTATGATACTTAATTGGGTGAAGCAGTCTATTCAACCATTAGACTGTTGGATTGAGAAAAAACGTAGACTGGAACAAAAAATTGTTGATACAGCTAGTAGGTACTCCGTAAATCGAATGTATTTAACCATAGAAAATAGTCTATTGTATATTTAGTATAGATGAATCTGTCTGTTATCACTTCTTGATAAATAATAGATCACTTAATGTGAATAAATATTTGTGTAAGAGGTTCATTTATACAACCGGTTATAATTTAGTATCGGTTGTTATACCTTATTCTAACTGCTGGACAAGCCAATTCACCTATCCATCTTGAGTCAAGTTTTCATCTTGTTTATTATTCACTCATCAACACTGACCATTTTTATATGAGCGTAGGTGTATGTACATTTCTTATCCTATTTTTCACATGTCTGTCATTCATTCTTGTCTGACTATAAATATTAATTAACGCTTGATAAAAGTGAGTTGGCTTCCCCGTCATCTCCAATGCGTGTTCACTTTTTGTTTCGCTCGCTGATATTTACTCATGTGCTCATAACTTTCTTGCCTGCGTCATTTGACAATAAACTGTAGCTGCCGCTTCTCTTTGCCTTCTGATTTTATGCACCGTTAAGATTGGTATTATAACGGTTATCAGGGTGAACAATTAACAAAGCACGGCACTACATAATTGGCTATCCCGACTTACGAACGCGAAGCAATATTAGTAACTTCAACGTACTGACACATAATTGGTGAGCCCGACGTGATATGGGCTTAACATAATAACCGATACTACAATAAAACTTACTTACTTACTTTCGCCTGTTACTCCCAATGGAGCATAGGCCGCCGACCAGTATTCTCCAACCCACTCTGTCCTGGGCCTTCTTTTCTAGTTCTATCCAGTTTTTGTTCATTCTTCTCATGTCTGTCTCTATTTCTTGACGTAATGTGTTCTTTGGTCTTCCTCTTCTCCTTTGACCTTCAGGATTCCATGTGAGGGCTTGTCTTGTGACGCAATTGGGTGATTTCCTCAAAGTGTGCCCTATCCACTTCCAGCGCTTCCTCCTGATTTCTTCCTCCGCTTGAATCTGATTTGTTGTCTCCCACAGTGACTTGTTGCTGATAGTGTCTGGCCATCGGATCCGAAGTATCTTGCGTAGACAACTGTTAATAAACACTTGTATCTTCTGGATAATGGCTTTCGTAGTTCTCCACGTCTCCGCCCCATACAATAGAACTGTCTTGACATTTGTATTGAAAATTCTAACCTTGGTGTTGGTTGACAATTGTTTTGAGCTCCAGATGTTTTTCAGTTGTAAATATGCTGCTCTTGCTTTGCCGATCCGCGCCCTCACATCTGCATCTGATCCACCGTGTTCATCAATGATGCTGCCCAGATACGTAAAGGTTTCCACATCCTCCAAAGTTTCTCCGTCAAGTGTAATTTCATTGGTGCATATTGTATTGTATCGGAGAGTCTTGCTTTTCCCTTTGTTTATATTGAGACCTACTGCTGCTGAGGCTGCTGCTACACTGGTCGTTTTCTCCTGCATTTGTTGTTGCGTTTGTGATAGAAGAGCCAGATCATCCGCGAAGTCTAGATCGTCAAGTTGCACCCTGCCTGTCCACTGTATCCCATGCTTTCCTCCAGTCGTTGACGTCTTCATGATCCAGTCGATCACCAGGAGAAAGAGAAACGGTGAGAGTAAGCAACCTTGCCTAACACCGGTCTTTACCTCGAATGAGTCGGTGAGTTGTCCTCCGTGGGCGATTTGGCAGTTTAGTCCATCATAGGAGTTCCGTATGATATTGACTATCTTCTCAGGCACGCCGTAGTGTCGAAGAAGCCTCCATAATGTCGTCCTGTCCACGCTATCAAATGCCTTCTCGTAGTCGATGAAGTTGATGTAGAGTGATGAATTCCATTCGATTGACTGTTCCACAATGATACGTAGAGTCGCGATTTGATCTGTGCACGATCTATCCTCACGAAATCCAGCTTGTTGATCTCGAAGTTGGGCGTCTACGGAATCCTTCATCCTGTTTAACAATACCCTGTTGAAGACTTTTCCTGGTATTGAGAGGAGAGTGATGCCCCTGTAGTTGTCGCACTTGCTGAGATCACCTTTCTTTGGTATCTTGATCAGAAGTCCTTTTTTCCAGTCTGTTGGTACTTGTTCTTCGTCCCAAATCTTACTGAAGAGGATGTGTAGTATCTTGGCAGTTGCTGCTACATTTGCTTTCAGCGCCTCTGCCGGGATGTTGTCTGGTCCCGCTGCTTTGCCGCTCTTGATTTGTCTAATGGCCATGCTGATCTCTTCAATTGTTGGTGGGCCAACATCGATTGGGAGGTCTGTGGGTGCTGCTTCGATGTTGGGTGAGTTCAGTGGAGCTGGTCGATTTAAGAGTCCTTTGAAGTGTTCTACCCACCTGTTTCGTTGTTCTTCAATGTCGGTGATTACTTTGCCTTCCTTGTTTTTCACTGGTCTTTCTGGCTTACGGTAATTTCCAGCAAGTTTCTTTGTTGTATCATACAGTTGTCTCATGTTTCCCTCTCTTGCAGCCTTTTCCGCTGTCATCGCTAAATCTTCCACATATTTACGTTTGTCGGTTCTGATGCTCCTCTTCACTTGCTTGTTTGCCTCTGTGTATTCGGCTTGTGCCTTGGCTTTTTCCGCTCTTGTTCGGCTGTTATTGATTGCTGCCTTCTTGTTCCTTCTTTCTTCAATTTTATCCAGTGTACCAACAGTGATCCATTCCTTGTGATGGTGCTTCTTTTGGCCCAGAACCTCCTGACATGTTGAAACGATTGCCTCCTTGATACCTTTCCAGTTGCTCTCCATGGTAGTTCCCTCTCCATTGAGTAGATCATGAAAGGCCTGGAACCTGTTGCTGAGGGCTATGTTGAATTTGTTGAGTTTGTCAGCATCTCGAAGAAAGGCCGTATTAAACTTTTGTGATGTTGTCCGAGCCGTTGTCCACTGCTTCCTAAGTTTTAGTTTCATCTTGGCGACCAGCAAATGATGATCGGATGCTATATCAGCTCCTCTTCTGGTTTTCACATCCTCCATCGTCCTCCTGAACTTTTTGTTGATGCAGATATGGTCGATTTGATTCTGTGTAGTGTGATCCGGTGAAATCCAAGTGGCTTTGTGTATGCTTTTGTGTGGAAATATGGTGCCACCTATGACCAGTTTATTGAAGGCACATAGGTTTGCAAATCTATCACCATTTTCGTTCCTTTCTCCCAGTCCATGTTGTCCCATGACGTCTTCGTATCCACTGTTGTCCTTTCCAACCTTGGCATTGAGATCTCCCATCAGAATGGTCAGGTCCTTGGTTGTGCACTTCTCGAAGATCGACTGCAGCCTATGGTAGAATTGGTCTTTAGCGTCTTCATCGTAGTCGTTGGTCGGCGCATAGCATTGAATAACGTTCATTGTAATGCCCTCTCTCTTTGTTTTGAAGGAGGCTTTGATGATCCTTGGTCCATGAGATTCCCATCCTATCAGTCAGTCAGTCAGTCGCAACGAAGAACTTCGTACGTACGTACATCTGTTCGAGTTGCCATACCACATTAGCACAGAGATGCAGTTGTCGATTCAAATCCCATAGTGGTAGAAGTAGTAGGAGTATAATCAGAAATCCAAAAGATTAGGGTTTGAAGAAATTATTGAAGTAGTATAGTACAGTGAAATAAATTTGGAAAGAGAAAAAGATAAAGACACGAGGAATTCAGAAGATTAGAATTTGGTAGAACACAAAGAGTTGATGCACCTTCGTCATTGCAAACGATTTTGAGCCATGTCATTCAAGGTCTCTAACCATCGGTTGCTATCATCTCGCGAATCCCAACCAGGTAGTCTACACCTACCAACATGTCCCAGTCCACTTGTCAGTGACTTCATGGATTTGTGCCACGTTTTGGTCTGGCTACCCATACCTTTCTTCCAACCTACTCCTACACCATGAAACATTGCACGTCGGGGCAGTCGGTGGTCGGGCATACGTAACACATGTCCCAGCCATCTCAAATGATGAAGTTTCACTACTTCATCAATCGATTTGCCATCCTTACCTAGTACTCGTTTCCTAACAACTGCATTACTTACCCGGTGGTCCCAGGATATACGAGTAATGCGTCGAAGACACCTATGATCGAAAACTAGTAGTCTACGAATATCCTCTACTCTTATCGGCCATGTTTCACTGCCATAAAGTAGGACGGAGCGAACTGCTGCACAGTAAACCCGTCCTTTGGTTGCTAGACGGATATCTCGCCTACGCCATAAATGTCGCAAGTTGGCGAAAGCTAGACGAGCCTTCTGTATCCGTGCTGAGATTTCGTCGCATACCAGACCACAAGGGCTGATGAGACTCCCAAGATAAGTGAAGTGGTCTACACGCTCAACTACTTCACACCCTATCATTAGTTCAGGTGTCGCTGCAACCCAATCCTGAAGTAACATTTTGCACTTCGAGGGAGAGAATCGCATCCCGAACATGCCTGCATAGTTGCTTATAGTGGTCAGAAGACTGCATGTTGTCAGCGTCTTCACCGAGTAAAACTATGTCGTCGGCGTATTCTAAGTCAACAAGTGAATCTCCCGGTAAAAGTTCAACTCCTGGAGGTTTAGCTGATGAAAGTGCCCAAGGGACAACTGCTTGAGGCCGGTCACGCACGGCCTTTTTGTGGGGGATTTTTGACGTGTTAGCTCCGTTCTTCAAAAGTCCTTACCGCCGGAGACGGAAATCCGTGGGATAAGGCGAGGTGTGCATTTTTAGGGTCGACCTTTTCTAACCCCACCCCTCCTTGTGGGAAGGCAGCATCGCTGTCATGCTGGTTGTCTGAAGGAAACACCTTACTGCTTTCACACCTCTGTACAGTCAGCAGTACGACTTCGCCTTCGGACCTTGGGTTTGCTGCTTTTAGTCTCACCGCTCTTCAACCGACCTGTCTGGCATGGTAGGACCTTAAGGAACAATTGTTCCAGCCAGTATAGCTCGATTGGATCATCACGATAGGCAAGCCCGACCACCACGTCAAGGTAGCAGCAACGGTCGGGTTCCCATCCTATAAGTGCATTTTGTGCTTTTCTGGACAGCATCAATGCAATTCCTTGTGTATGTGGGGCATTTTCTTCCTCATGACCGGAGTATAACAGAAGTTCACCTGAAGACAGTCGTTGTTGTCCAACGCGCGTCTAATGCGTTTCACTGATTCCAAGCACCTCCAGGTTGTATTTTCTCATTTCTGAAGCAATTTGGAAGACTCTTCCGGTCTCCCACATTGTCCGGACATTCCATGTACCTATAAAAATTGTTGCTCTGGTTGTAAGAAGGTGCGTCGGCCTCATGACTTCCGAATGAACTCAGCTTTCATCATGAGACGTCATAATTATTCCTTCTACTCCCAGGGCAGAGTTTAAATGGTTTGAATGATTTTTTCTGGTTAGCGTTTTTTTAGCGAGTTGATTTTCTACGGGATGGGGTCGCTAACCCCATGCCCAACCCTCCTCCTTTACCCGGGCTTGGGACCGGCAGCAACCCCCAGAGGAGCTACAGGCGGAGTTGCTACAATAAAAACACAAGACTATATCATATGCATATAAAAATATATATTTACAGTGTTCTTATAAGATACGATAAACGGATCAGTTCAAAATACACATACATTTACGGAGTTACATAAAAATAATATAATAAGACACCTAATAGGGATGTAACAACTGATTTTCTGGAAGACAACTGTGTTGTGCCATAAATTACATAATCTTTCTTTATTCTTTCAGAGTTTCCGTGAAGGCGTCAGTAAATTAATACCTAACGCAACTATTAATCAAAACATTCATCCTTCAGTGTTGGCTCTTGCTGAAGCTTCACGAATGGAGGCTATTTCTTCTGATATGTCAACTACTATTATAACTGACGATTTATGCTTAAATCCTACAAATCCAATTGAGATTACTAATACCGATGAAGAAACTCTATCAGTCTCAGATTCTCTTAATTTTGAAGGCACACAAACTGAAGTTGCATCCAATTTGTGTGACAATGAGATAGATGTAATGGGAAAAGAAGATTCAATAACAACATCTTTAGATGAAGGTGAACAGCAAAACACAATGGTCATAAATGAAGATATTAAGAAAAATATACTAGAAAAGAGTGGAGAAGATGATATTGTTGATGATTCTATTGAACAATTGCGTGCATTTGGCATAACAATATGTAGTAATTTATTGCACTTTATGCCTTTATCAGCTGAACCATTAATCCAACGTACACTAAAAACACTTACTGGTGAACCGAATTCATTAAATCCTAATTCATTCACTGAAATTGAAGCACACGTAAGTAATAAAAATATTAATACTAATAATTTGAACATTTTAGTCGTCTAAAGACCAATTTTAAATTTTTATTGTTAATTGATAACAATAGCTGACACCAGGTGATACGAATTGCGAATCCCGTATGAAACATATGTCCACTTACACTCTCAGCTAATCTGTACGAGTCCGCGCTAACTAAAGCTTCCTCCAGGTTTTGTCGATCATTATCTTTCAATGTAGGCCCTTGCATTAGACCTGGAATCAAACGGACTATCTGTTTCAATTTGAGGATAAAGTAAAAAATTAGGACTAACTTCTTCAGTGGCATTTAATTAAAAATAGAACCTACACCTGGCTAAGTTTATCTTTATTATCCGATGTTTATCACATACATCAATTAGAGACAATGAAATGTGCTAACATTGAAGATGTCTCCACCTTCGTTTGCTGAAGTTTACACAACTTACACTATGAAATTCGATACTATTATTCTATTAGTTCACATTTTAGTGAACAAGAAAATTACAAATTCTTATGTGTGCTTCATTTAATAAATTTTACAATCTACGTCCGACTTTAATTTCATTAACTATCATGACTGATCACGAACGTTTGCCTGTATTTACGTTCCAACTAGATTATTCATATGCGTTACAATATAGTTACTCATTCCATTCAACTCAATATATGTGACGAAGGCTAAGGCAATCAGCAAACCTCCAGCAACGTTATATGACATGAAAATTTCGCTTTACAGATACATCAACCGGAAACATTAACTCTGGTACCGGTCATAGATGTTATTTTTAATTTTTATTATTATTAATGGCTTTATTCAATATTATAATCTGATACAATATAGAATTCTCAGCACGAAAACTCCATTTGATAGTCTAATGGATTCTACATAAAGATTGAAGAAAATAAGAGTATTAACGAATTGTTCTGGTGACAGATAGATCGAGAGACCTACTGGATCCGGAGACAATAGTGATTCAAATTTCTAAGTTATGTTCTGAGACATTCATAGTTTCGTTGTGGATGTCCTAAGGAAATCATATTGTCATGCGATTTCCGTTAATAAACGTCAGACTATTACTGATAACGATAACCGTCAGCATTTTTTCTAACTCAAATCTCATGATCTTTGCTCTCTTCCGCATAATTGCCATTACTTTTCGTTAGCTGATTTTCTGTTTTCCAATGTCATGTTTTTATAAGTATATATGTGGAGTTGTATTATTACAATTTACGTCCTTGAGTATCAAGTTTTCCTTCACTCTCACCTTCTTTGTGTGTCCCTTCTCGACTGCGTTTGTTAAAGGCTATTGTCAGTTTTTATTCTATGGAATCCGTCATAGGACACGTTCGTATTAAAATGAGCTCAGTCATCCCACAGTTACCAAGATCCGTGGGTCGAACCGAATCTCAACTAAAACAGACAACACTACTTTCCTAAAACGAACACTAGTGGGAGAGTGATATGAAGACTTTAACTAATCTATTGGTCCTGTTCGTCTGAGTTGAATCCTTTAATGAAAACAGTTGGATACCAGTCTACTTACACGGAATAGTGCACAATTTGAATTTGTAGATTTAGACATACTGAAGTTGTTGAGTCGGCTTCCGGAGAACTTCAACGGAGCCTCCAGAAGCCCAAAAAGGGCCGAAGAGCCCTAGCCAATCAGAGTATGATGGAACATTCTAGAATTCCAACGTGGCGTGCTACTATTGGTCGGTAGCATAATATGTCGTTAACGGATTGGCTAAAATATGGTGTTGATTTAACAGACGCTAACATCTATAAATACCCATGATTTTTTGTACAAGAACGAACCTTGGGGTAAAGTATTTTCTCTCATACTTGCGTCTTTTCTCTAGTGTTCAAGTCGCTGAGTAGTTCTAGCCTGTGGGTTACCAGAATATCTTAGGAAACGAATATAGCGTGCAATGAACAAGACGTATCACTGGCGACGGGGTTAGCTTATCAAGATATCATTTACCTTTGAACAATTTGAAGCCTTGCTGGAGCGTCAAAAAAAACGTTTCGAACAGTTCCAGGTTCGTATTATAGAGACTTTAACCCAAAAATTGAACCCAAGTCAAAATGGTGTTACAGATGATGTTTCCAAATCTAATGTTGACCATATTATTAATTCAATCTATGAATTTAACATCATGATGATGTTAAATTCATAGATTGAATTAATAATATGGTCAACATTAGATTTGGAAACATCATCTGTAACACCATTTTGACTTGGGTTCAATTTTTGGGTTAAAGTCTCTATAATACGAACCTGGAACTGTTCGAAACGTTTTTTTTGACGCTCCAGCAAGGCTTCAAATTGTTCAAAGGTAAATGATATCTTGATAAGCTAACCCCGTCGCCAGTGATACGTCTTGTTCATTGCACGCTATATTCGTTTCCTAAGATATTCTGGTAACCCACAGGCTAGAACTACTCAGCGACTTGAACACTAGAGAAAAGACGCAAGTATGAGAGAAAATACTTTACCCCAAGGTTCGTTCTTGTACAAAAAATCATGGGTATTTATAGATGTTAGCGTCTGTTAAATCAACACCATATTTTAGCCAATCCGTTAACGACATATTATGCTACCGACCAATAGTAGCACGCCACGTTGGAATTCTAGAATGTTCCATCATACTCTGATTGGCTAGGGCTCTTCGGCCCTTTTTGGGCTTCTGGAGGCTCCGTTGAAGTTCTCCGGAAGCCGACTCAACAACTTCAGTATGTCTAAATCTACAAATTCAAATTGTGCACTATTCCGTGTAAGTAGACTGGTATCCAACTGTTTTCATTAAAGGATTCAACTCAGACGAACAGGACCAATAGATTAGTTAAAGTCTTCATATCACTCTCCCACTAGTGTTCGTTTTAGGAAAGTAGTGTTGTCTGTTTTAGTTGAGATTCGGTTCGACCCACGGATCTTGGTAACTGTGGGATGACTGAGCTCATTTTAATACGAACGTGTCCTATGACGGATTCCATAGAATAAAAACTGACAATAGCCTTTAACAAACGCAGTCGAGAAGGGACACACAAAGAAGGTGAGAGTGAAGGAAAACTTGATACTCAAGGACGTAAATTGTAATAATACAACTCCACATATATACTTATAAAAACATGACATTGGAAAACAGAAAATCAGTTATAATCATGATTTAGTAGTTTAAACTATCTCAATCTGGTGTTACAAACATAATGTCACTTGGTTACTACGTTTATACTTATGCATTTTATTTTAGGCCTCCTGTAATCAAAGCTAACGATACTGTAGTGTCTAGTACTATTTCATGCCTACATGGGTTCTTCTAGCTTCCGGACAGATCAGTATATTTAGTGTTGTTGAATCACATTTTGACCTCAATTATTCGTTTTTTAACCTTTACTGTTTTTACATGAGCGTGTGTGTAACGCGTACCCTATTCATCACATATCTAGTTTTATTTTGTCTGCGTATAAATATTGAGTCACGCTTTATCAAATGGGATCAGCAAACTTGCCTTCTTCGATTCCCAGCTTTTCATTCTAAATGTCTGTGTGGATAAACGAGCTCTTGAAATAAGTTCATCGAACGCAACCCTTATTTGGCTTCTTATTACTACCGTCACACAAATTGGGTTAGCCTAGACAATATACGAAGTTAAATGGCAGTTTTCTGTTCATAACATATTAATACGTCCATCCAAATCAGAGTCAGGTAAGAGATCACTGAACAATACCCGAGATGAACTCTCTGAAACGAGGTTTGAATATGTCACCTACAGCCTAATAACTGAGAACTCTCACGTCTAGCTAATGAGTTCCTAATGAGGCGAAGCATGTTTTTGTTTACACTACTTTATCTTTATATGGCTTCAACCGAGGTTTTTAACCAAACGTTTTACATTTAACAGATTGTTAACATTCTCTCAAGTCCCGATTGTTTTGGTGCATTTAAACGTAGTAGTCAATATATTCATCTTTTGGCTGAGTTAGATTTACTCAAGGAACCATTAGAACAATCTTCATCATCTAATTTTATATCCGTCCCTCCCATTTCAAATGATACATTACCTCAAAGCCAATCTCAATCATTATCTCAATCTGACAAGATCACTGTTTCAAGCGGTTCTATCATTCATAATGTTTCTTCCTTGTCTCAAATGCCATGTTCCGCGAATTCTGTCGAGGATTGTACAGATTGGAAATGTATAGAAAATGATTCTTCTAAAGGTAATATTTTACATTTTTCTCAATAAATGAAATAATCATAAATAAGCATTTACAACAACAACAACAAATGGACTCATGAATTCAACTATTAAATTATTACAATCTCCACAATCCCCCATTCTAATAATAATCATTGTGTACTCACTAGTGACTGGCTTCAAAATGTATTTCCTGGAGTTCTGGTGAGAAGCCGTGACCAGTGGAGTTCAACCGTGTCTGTCGTGAGGCATTTACTCACTGAACACAATAGTGACGGTCGCTCGATAGGTAAAAGTTAGATATTAACTCCGTCGGATGCCGACTAAATAGTTTAGAGGTTAGCCATTCGCGCACGAAACCGAAGGTCCTGGGTTCAAGTCATACATGCGGAGTCGTGACCAAGTTATGTTGTTGAATCTATTGAATTGTGTATTAACGTGACAGTTTTTATCAATTTCATATTTATGGATCCAGTGAGTATTAATACAATGTGTCGTAATATAGTAGTAAAAAAATTTGGACATTTTGGTCACCTGTCCCCTCATCATTGAATTTCATACTTTCCTCAAGATTAATCCATTAGAGATGTCCATTAAAGTTTCTGGATAAACAGAGTTTTGTCATCGAATCTTAATAAACATCTTATTAACTATATCGTATCTTGGCTTACGTTGATTCTCACAGGGTGAACTACTCTGTTTAGTCAAACAATCTGAGATGATGGTTAGTAATTAGTCAATTGAAGAGCTATAAACCAACGTAGTCGGTTTCTCCAATCAACTATAGAATTTAATCATGTTGGTTTTACTGTTAATAATTTGTATGTAAGCATGCTCGTTTACTGAATGAAAAACTTAATGTTCAGACTAGTGGTCTTGTTTTTGATTTCATATTCATTCAGGGGCTTACGTCAATAATTCAGTCCCATGAGCAGCCATCACTCAGCTGTATCCTATTATTCCATATAACTTATTGACTAGAACTCATTTACTTCGTTTTAACAATCGAAAATTTACCGCTCATATTCAATGAGCGTAAAGGCATTATTCTCTAATGAATGAGTTTTTACCGTATTTCTTTTATTCTTTAAGGGGATACATAAAGTTTGGTAGTTTTGTTTCTCAGTGGTCACTATGTTTATCAGATAAATTACTATATATTTTCCCTTAAACAATTTAACTATAAGAATTATGCATCTGACGATTATTTACTCACTTTTTTTTCTTCAGAAACCAAACAATCAGGGTTGCCAAGGTTATCGGAATCTCGTGTACGTAGATATGTTTTGTTTAATTACATTTCGATTTTTTTGTTATTCGTAATAAATCAAATTTTTATTTAATATGCTTTTGTAATATCTGATTGCTTCGTTATCATGGGGTCCGGATGGAATCAATGACATTTTGTATAACTAATTAGGTTTCAAACATTTTATCAAAGTTTCCTATCGAATTTGTAGAGCTATTAAGAATTAAGTGGCATCGGACAACATTCTTGTCCCAGTTCGAGAATTCTCGACAGTAAGAGCATTCATGACTCTATAAAGACGATCGAATTAACAACTGTCAGATCTTGTTACAGATTCGACCTTATTAAACTACTGTATCGTAGTTCGGTGTGTATATTTCCAAATTTAGTCACAATTTTTATCTCAGTGTCGTCGGTTAGTTCCTAACGTATATTCAACTGGGTTAACTCCGCTTGTCATGTGTTCAATAGTTACTCAGTACTAACGAATACTGAGCTCTAGAACTTAACAGTTGTAGATTGCTTTTTGGTTGTTAATAGCTGTGTCTCTATAATGAAAGTGATGTTTAGGGACTATTTGTTAGGGATGCTAGATCCTCATAAATCACTTGATGAACTTCTTATTTTTTGTAATTTTATTTTGGAAGTTTGAATTTCCTGTCTTCGCTCCAGAAGCGATTATTTAGTCCCTTCAGATTATATTTCCCACTCGAAAAGACCCTAAATGTCACTGATTGGTTGCCTCTTTTAATATGCTATTTCGTAACGTTTCCCAAAGACATTTTATGCTGTATATATACGCTTGAGTTATTGTTTGTGCTTCTGGCTGCTTGTGGAATATACTTTCCCTCATCTAAAACTGGACTTCTCCCTATAGTTAATGGTGCTGGAACGCGTTTGAATAGTTTAACTTGTCTTGTCGTTGTGTCGCTGATCCTTCGTTCCGTTCGCCGATTTAGAGTGATCTCTTCAAATATAGTACTATTGTTGTTTTATTTGGGGAGCATCATGTTTAATAAAGAACTAAATCCAGTTTTAACCACTATGTTTACCATATTATATTCTTCGTGTTTCAAATAGAAAAATGATATAGTTCTCTAAATTCGAACTATGGAATTTATCATTCATTCGATTACTAAATATTTCTCAGTTTTACTTCGCTAAGTCAATCATGAAGTTGACTGTGATCTCGTCCTTTTATATGTATAGTTTGTTGCCGTAAAAGCTTTCATCTTATAAATTACTTTCCATGGTAAATGCTCTGAGCTTTCGTTTTCTAACTTAATAACACAGTATACATTAATCCAAATAAAAGTTTTAAACATGATCTCTGCTTCAAATCCACCTTATCATTAGTCCGTATCAAGTGGTTTTTATTGTTTATGAAATCCTATTTTAAATGTTTGTCTGTATGGTTGTTAGATAATGGGTTTGGATCACACTATGCCTAAGATATCTTGGGTACAAGAATAAATTTTATCCAGCGTTTTGCGCATTTTAATTTGAAACTTTTTGAAGTAATGTGGTGTGGTCTACTTATATCCACACAAGTAGTATATGGTGATGGCCAGACATGGAATGTACTTTGGCAGAAGACCGATAACGAAATAACTGAAATGAAGCGCAATTGGTAGGAAAATGTATGAACAATTGGATTAGAGAACATGAACTGATATTTACAGAAGGAACAGTGAAGATTGAGACAATTGATTGTTATTTTGCAAATTAACTGTTCACTGTATTGTTCTCAGAATTTAGTGAGATAGTCTGTAATTTGTACTTAAATACATTCGATTGTCCCCAACTAGTATTCTTGTTCACTACAGTAATACTGCGGAATCATAATCTGATATCATAAGAATAGATATATTGTCATTTTTTCGACTTAACTAGGCCAACAATTACGGCTGTCAAAAGTTTCATGTAGTCCATCCCCAAACAAATTCATCATGCCAGGTCATGTAGTATCAGTCAATGTGACTATAGTTTTCATTATGAACTGATACCAATTTGACTATTCGTTGAAACCCATTAACTCGCAATCTAATGTGCTTAACTTGTGCGCGGAACAGTTATTTGTAACGTATGAGGTGATGGAATTTTTTTGCAAGAAAAAATATGTTTTACTGAATTCTAATTGTCCAAAAATTAATTCTAACTCATGATTCTTGTAAAACTCTCTAACTTTTCTGCTACATTTCGTTCTTTTCTTTGTAAAAAAAGATTATTTCAACAACAAATACTACTGGACGTGGGGCTTTTGATGATGTTTACACAGCTGCAATAACTCGAGCAGGTAATTTATTTGTTTGTAGTGACTAAACTAGATTATTGAAGCCTTAAATTTCATTTATATGGTATCTTTTTTTGTCTTGGTTATACGTATTGTTAGTTCACCAGCTGCCTAAGTGTTATATCGTGCGACTTTGTACACAACTGTTGATTCAATTGTGTTATTATTATTATTTACCTCATACTACAGTCATTCATAACTGACTGTAGCTGCTACTAGGATGTGGTGATCAAGATGTCATATCACTATGACTTAATCTAATTGTATCGGCTGAAATACATGTTCATTTAAGTCTTGTCATATCATGCAAGTTGGTTAGAGAACAGTTAGACCAAAAGCAGCAACTTAAGGTCCAATCGTGCTACTGACTGTACCGGATCGTGACGGCAGTAAGGATTTTCCCTTAGATAACCAGCATCTACAGCGATTATGCTTCCTCACAACGAAAAGATAGGGTTAGAAAAGACCAACCCTAAAAATAGCCCATCTCATCTTCCTACAATAATTGTCGTTGTAGTCAGTAAGACTTACAAGTACGTAGTTGACTCATCTTTAAATACCCGTGAAAATCCTGTTTGATCGACCCCAAAGAGTTTTTTTTGTGTACTGTAGTAAAGCTCTCAGATTGCTAAGTCTACTACTAATCTAAGTTTTTTTGGCTATCTCAGGAAATGCCTTACCATGATGTATGCAAACTGTAAGTGACAACCGCTTTTAACAGCACTTGAGTTCGCTTTATTTACGATTTAAACCTTTCATTTATTACATTTCGACGTTTATTTGAGATTTCGATTGTTGAATCTTTGCGCAAAATTCAAGATGCAAAGTTGATTAGCTTATATTTAATCAAGAGCTAAATAAAAAGTTATGGTAACATTTAATACTAATAAATATAGGAAAATTAAAGAATAATGAACATGGTTCATGAAGCCTTGAAGGTAAATTAAAGGCTTTTGATTTTTAAAATCAAAGAACTGACTGAATAAGTATTCGTCCATATCCCCACAATTCATTTTCACTCTTTATTTCTTAATTTAACATTGTCATTAACAAAGCGTAGTTCTACCGAATATTTTTATTAGATTACATTTTACAATCATTAACCGGGTTGGTGTATATGGAGGATCCACCTAGGGGAGTTGGAAAACCCTGATTCCAAACCAATGGTGCATATGGCTTTAGGATCTTGAAGGAAAAAATGGCGTATGAACCTATTGTTGGTCAACGGCTACCATGGGACTGCATCTCCTAACGTTGTTCCATTGCCTTGTGGACTAGACCTCCGGGTGTGGCCCCCTAAGAAAACCACCTGCTTCGGTTTGGGCACCCGGACAGTATTACAACCCTCACACATATAAATGATAACTGCTACTGACCTCATTGTTAATTATATGGAGCATATGTGTTTAGTGCCCAGTTTTACCAGTGTTTGTGTTCAAATAAATCAAATAAACATAAACCAATTTAACTTAGTAAACATCAAACCAACAAAGTTATTTACATTTATCTTTTTTTCTAGAAATAATGCATGATTCTTATGTAATTTATACTATAAAAGTTACACGTACTGTACTATCTACTGGTCAATCAGAATCTTGGAATACTCTACGTCGTTTCAGACATTTTGTTGAGCTACACTCGTTTCTAACAAACAGAGTAGGTTATAAAAAAAGAAAATAATTTACTGTTTTATTGTTTGGTTTTATAATAAATGATATGGTGGTAGCTATCGTCATATAATTAATTCTTTAAATACAATTTTGTTGGGGCAATCCTGAAAATTTCTCGCAATAGACATGACAGGTTCAGGAAAACCCAAGGACTTCTAAAATAATATAAAATCCCTATATTTTCTGCACATAAATGGACCTTTGGAGTAAAGTGCTTCTCGTATATTGTGCGCCTTTTCTCTCGTGTTCAAGTCGCAGTGTAGTTCTAGCTTGAGGGTTACGAGACCAACTTAGGATCTGAGTTTAGCGTTCAATCAACAAGGCTTATAAGATGGTGGTTGGAGGTGGTCAACAGGAAACCCTGCACCTGGGTTTCGTGCTACTTGGCACTCGTTAGCAAGGTGCACCTGTAATCTTGAGGAAACTGATGCTCCGCGATCGACCTCCTGTAGGACTGAGATGTAATCACAATTGATTGATCACGGGGTGGTGAACAACAAGACTTATCAAATATACATTCAATAATGAATTATTTTCTTTAAAATCTATAATATTTAATCATATTTTATATAGTAAACATAACAATCTATCTTTTAGTCATCAAAAATTAATATTCATTCATTGAGTTTAATCTAATACATACCCATACATAAGTATGAGTAACTTCCAGGACCTATAGATGGACTATTATTCTATATATATTCTTATTGTTTAACTATTGAGTAATTAGATTGTGTATATCTATATTCATCTTATTATAAGCTTCATTTTGACTTATGACTTATTACTGTACGATTTACTGTTGCTAAATCATATTCAGTTTATTGATTACAGTATCCTACTTTCACAGCCACATTTGGCTTGATCTTGTACAAATATTATTTTCTATTTTATGGTGTGATGTGGTCTGTCTGTCTAGTTTATAAACCGTGTATGCTTGAAATAAATGATTCGCATAGATTCATACCACAGAGGCTGAGATTGGTGTTCTAGATTTAACGGGCTGGGCTAGGTAGATAGCAGGACCGACAAGTACTCTAGACTGCTCGTACGGTTTCCGTGTCACTGTCCCGATCGATAATTCGCTGCTCTCTGATTGGCGGTCTTATCACGTTATACATTTAACAGGGCATCTACTCGTCCACAAGTTTTAACAAATACAAGTCTGACTATCAATGTGTAAATTATATTAAGAATTATTCTCATTGATCATCTTCATATTTTTATCTTAAGTTATAGGATTGTTGATTTTGCAGGAGCATATACTAAGTCCGTTATGTATACTCTAGAAACAATATTTAGTGTTTATGCACTTCAAATGTACCACTTGATATTGAACAGACATATAATTTTAATTGGACAGTTCATGTATAATAACTAACATTCTGTGTTGAAATAGATGTATGGTTTTGTGTTTAGATTTGAAACCCAATGGTTGTGTGGTGTGGTCTACTTATATCCTCATAAGTAGTATATGGTGATGGTCAGACATAGAATGTATTTTGGCAGAAGACCGATAAGGAAAGAACTAAATGAAGCGCAATTGGTAGGAAAATACATAAACAATGAGATTAGAGAAGATAGATTGATATTTACAGAAGGAACAGTGAAGATTGAGACAATTGACTGTTATATTGCAAATTAACTGTTTGCTGTATGGCTATCAAACCTTAGTAATATAGTTTGTAATTTGTGCTTAAATACATTCGATTGTCCTCACCAGTCGTGTTCTTGATCACCACAGTTGAAATTCGAATGATTTATTCACGAAGTTACCACTAGTCGATGGTTATTAATAATACTTGGGATTTTTGGTTAAAATTTACAAAATGGATTTGTGGACGAGGATAATAATGATTGATTATTTGTTAAGTCAGATTAGTAGATAGTCTGACAGGTAATATATGAGTTATATATTCTTTTATTCCCATTCTTACTGTGATTTTTGTCGGTTTTGGCGTGTGAAAATATATTAACGTTCTCATCAGGCTATTCATACGTTCTTCATCTGAGTTGCACCGAAGTCCTGTATAGTAGACACTGGAAGGGAATCTAGTGTAGATATTCGTCTAAGGTAAATTAAGGTTCCATTCGTGTAGACGTGTAAAACCGAGAGTTATAACAAAAACTAAAATCAGAAGGGGTTTTGTGGATATTTTAGTATTTTCATAATTGAAATCATGAGTCGATTGAAGCTAGACCACCATGGAAAACCTAGAAGCACTATGGGTTAAGTGCTCTGGCGCGAGATTGGTAGGTCCTGGGTTTGAATCTCGCGAGTGAGGGATCGTGGATGCGCACTGCCGAGGAGTCCCATAATAGGAGAAAACGGCCGTCCAGTGCTTCCAGGTTTTCCATGGTAGTCTAGCTTCATTTGACTCACACTTTCAAATAGGAAAAACTAAAATGTTTATCGTTGATTTATGAAGCGATAATTCAGTGGTTCAGTTTGTCAACTTTTAGAGACTGGTTCCGTCTACTTCTGTTTAAGGGCACCGAATAATAGTATCATTAGATCTTACGTACTCCGAGTATGACTCAAAATTCAGTACATGAACCTGTACACCTATTAAATGGATTAATACAATTTAAACATTGTCCTCTATATCATTGTTAAGCACTATGTAAGAAAAATTCATACTATTACCATAACATTTTATCGATTACTATTTCTATTGTTAATTTTTTTAGTGTGGTCGTATGACTGAACTTAAATTGCCATCGAAAATAGCATTTAATAACATGAGCCCTGAATTTTTAGCACAACGTCGACGTGGACTTAATGTTTATTTGAATGTAAGTTTAACTTTATGAAATCCTAATAAATTTTCACTATTAAGAGTTATGAGCTGAGTTTTTTTTACTAATTCACTAGAAAAGCAAATCACATACATTAATTACAGTTCTTACTTACATATTTACTTACGCCTGTTACCCCTCGTCGAGGAGCATAGGCCGCTCACCAACATTCTCCATCCAACTCTGTCCTGGGCAATCCTTTCCAGTTTTTTCTAGTTGTTATTCATCCTTTTCATATCTGCTTCTATTTCCCGGTGTAATGTGTTCTTTGGCCTTCTTCTTTTCCGCTTCCCTTCCGAGTTCCAAGTTAGGGCTTGCCTCGTGATGCAGTTTGGTGATTTCCTCAATGTATGTCCTATCCACTTCCAACGTCTTTTCCTAATTTCCTCTTCAGTTGGAAGCTGGTTTGTCCTCTTCCATAATACACTGTTGCTGATAGTATCCGGTCAGTGAATGTTGAGTATTTCGCGTAAACAACTGTTTATAAATACTTGTACCTTCTTGACGATGGGTGTAGTAGTTCTCCACGTTTCCGCTCCATACAGTTAGACTGTCTTGATGTTCGTATTGAAGATTCCCACTTTGAAGTTAGTTGACAGTTGTTTTGAGTTCCATATGTTCTTCAATTGTAGAAATGTTGTCCTTGCTTTGCCAATCCTCGCCTTTACATCTGCATCCGATCCTCCTTTTTTTATCAACGATGCTTCCCAGGTACGTTAGAGATTCCACCTCTTCCAGAGTATCGCCATCAAGTGTGATTGGGTTGATGTTCTCCGTGTTGTATTTGAGAATCTTGCTTTTTCCTTTGTGAATGTGGAGGCCTATCGATGCAGAGGCTGCTGCTACATTTGTTGTCTTCGTTTGTATTTGTTCGTGTGTATGAGATAGGAGGGCTGGGTTATCTGCGAGGTCCAAATCGTCTAATTGGTTCTGAGCTGTCCATTGTATTCCATGCTTCCCCTAATTAGAGTTCTTCACTTTTAAATTCAGTATTAAGATAATACATTACCACTCAAATTTATAAGGTAAAAGGTGGAGATAGTTTAATTCCAATTTAGTAATGTAGTACGCATACTTTGAGAACTAATTTTTATCCTTTTATAAAATGGAAAAAATCGATTCATCAAGAGAATCAAACATAGTTACAGCGGTACTTCAAAGTTTCATACGTTTTTATTATATATTTGTCAACATTGTTTTTTTCTGAGGCAATTATAAATTATCCGATTAACTGAAACCTTAGATTGGCAGAATATATCCATTAAAATCTTCTGTAAATTATTGTTAAAATATTGTAGTTAATTTCCAAATCTGTCTAAAATATTCTGATATATTCATTCATCGATATTTAACATTGCTTTAGAAGAATAATTTGTAAGTTATTAGTCGAAAAAGTATGTCTTTGATTGTTGTCAATTTACTAGCACAATTATTCAATTCTTAAAGGTTTACAGTTTAATCTTTCACCATGTTACCTGAACGTCTTGAGTTTTTTCCCCAGTGAGGTCGGTCCCCAAATGCCCTGGTACAACTGAGAGTAGGGAGAGTCCGCCCCTCTTATCGAAATGCTCTCACATGGTCACGCGTATATAGCCTCTGCCAGGGAAGTCCTACTCACTGCCTTCTCGTGGCCGTCTGTTTGCTCTGTCTAAAACTTGTTTGCAGGGCACGGCGAACATAAATAAAACTAATTCATTGATCACTTTATGTCTATCTTTTTCTTCCTGTCTTATAACTATTAATATCTTGTCGGTAATGGTTTGTGATTTTTTCGACCTTGTTATTAAGGAATGCAATTAATACAGTCTCTGTCACTATATATGCATCCTAAGCGAAATGGCTTGGTGTACCATTATATCACTAGTCTTACCATTATACAATAGGCGGCCACCAGGGGAATCCAGGCCATTCACTCATAAAGCACATATGACCATAAAGACTGGCCGGTTGCAGTCTTGAACATCAACAACGTTGAACTGAATTCCCCTTCGTACATGTTAGTGTTTGTCTAAACTCAGTAGCTCAAAGGATAACGCGTTTAGCTTTCAAAGCGAAAAGTACTTGGTTCGAGTCTCACTGTGAACATTATCACGGATGCACGTACTTACAGTTAAACAGTTCAAGTACCAAATCTTCTAACAATATGTCGGTGTTGAGTAGGCAGAAGTAAACGGTGATTGGTTGTTGTCTCCAGATAATTTGAGAGATGATCAGACAGATATCTGATTCGAAAGGAGACAATGAATTCATATAATAAAAACGTATAATATGATTTTTAAACTCCAGATATAAGAAGTGACAAAAAAGTAGATGCATTCACGCCATTACGACTTATTCTGAGCCATTCCACTTAAAGTCTCCAACCATCAGTGAAGATAATAGTACGAATCCTAACCGGGTAGCTTACAGCTACTTCATAGACTGATGCTACATTTTAGTTTAACCGCCTCTAACTTTCTTCCAATCTACTAGACCAGCCAGCATCCCACACTGAGATAGGCGATTGTTAAACATACATGACATCTATTCGCGCAATAGATGACATGACTGCAGCAATAGTCTGGTCCGATAATTTTGTTCAAAGTACTCATTTTCATTTTTCATAATTATCCATTTCAATAATGCTTAGGTGGAAATATAAGCTGATTCACATTAGAAAACTTTGCTATTTGTAAAGACACTGTGAACGCTAAACCAAATATGTCACGCAAACTCAAATGATATGTAACACTGTATTATTAATTTTCTGCCAATATTATTATTTGTTTATCAATAACAGACATTGTGTAGCAGTGAATTTCAGAATAATCATCCAGGTAGTCGTCCTTTGTGCATTGAATTTCTGCAGCCTGACAGCTGGGAAAGAGGTCATGTTGAAGCACGTATTGTAAGTTCTTAACATTCATTGTAATTACTTTGCCGGGTATATATATATTAAATGTCTACATTAAACCTTTATTTCTTCGTGTCTATTCCCATTTTCATATTTCATCTGTAAATATAAGTTGGTTATTAATACGCTAAACAAATTTGTCGTACACAGTAACATTCGAAGCAAAATCTTACATATTACCAGTTATACAACTCACCACTTTTTAGACCGCCAAACTAATAGATTAAAAACTGTTTATGCAAATTATAGTGGTTTTCAACTTAACTGTGGTGTTTGTATGAACTAATGATTCCTTTGTACGAAATGAATGCTTGATTTCAAATGGCAAATACAATACTTTCGTTAGTGCTCATCTAGTTCTGTCTACTTAGATTGAGCTATTTCCGGAATTCCTAGTTTGTACAATAATTCAAATACTCCCAATCATCACATTAACCGTCTAGTTTACTTCATAGAGTAACCTTATTTAGACAACCATTGCAAACTAGGAAGCGCTAGACTGTTGTCTTTTCTCAGCAAGGGAATTCCTTACTGTTGCAATCCACAATTCGACTGCCAATCGATCATAGAACCTGTAGGTCTCAGCTAGCACTTAACGTCTAGACCACTAAGTCGGCTTCCGGTAGTTTGCATTTCTAACTTTACGGTTCTCAATGGTTGCTTAACTAAGGTCGGTATTAAAACTGTAAAGCCCAGCAATCTCAACAAACTTTCTATGCACATAAATAATAAGCGCTTATATACACCAACAGAAATGAATGAATACTTTAGAAACAGGGGTAATAACTTCGCAGTTGAAACACTTCGATCTTGTTGTCTTAGTTTCTAGGTACAACTTAGCTTCATCTTCCATTTGGGCAACCGGTTTCTATTATCAGTAACCACATCTAAAAGTCTAATTCACAAATTCTACTAGGTTCTCACTGAGTTGTGTCGTTTTCTTAAGAGAAAATTAAACTGACTAGCAATGATAATAATGATAATAATAGCATCTTGGAATCATGCATTCCGCTATTACTATTATATTAAGAATCCGAATTATATATATGCATACTTCCTTTAATGTACAAATAAACATTTTCTCATTTTATCTGTGTCACAAGAAAATAAATATATATGCCAATTAGAGACTGACCAGTCGCAGTCCTAAAAACATCAATGGGAAGATTCAAACAAACAATACTAAATGAATTTAAACTTCACCCCATCGCACAAGCAAGTGGCTATGAGGACTCAGTGGCCAAGTGGATAACGCGATGGCATTTGAAGCGAAAGGTACTGGGTTGGAGTCCCAGAGTGAACATCAACTCTGAGATACAGGTACATCCAGTTGACGAGTCCCAAATAGGACGAAACGCGCATTGTGGATTCCACTACTAGCCACTATCCATCTTTGCTTACCATGCTTGTAAATTAAGGCAATACGCACAGTATGCACATATGCCAATTAGAGACTGACCAGTTGTAGTCCTAAAACATCAATGGGAAGCTTCAAACAAACAATACTAATTGAATTTAAATTATGTTTGATTATTTGTTATAGGTTTCTGCAATTTTAACACCTTTTCGTACAGTTAGCAATGCTATGATGTCTGTTCCAGATACATTGGCTGATGGTTTAAATAAGATTTTTGCTAATAAAAATTTTCCAACATCCAATTCACCTATTCTTTCACGTAATGATGAAATAATGAAAAAATCCAGTGAGTTTGAATTACAAGAATCATTGGATATGTCATTAGAATCATCAAAAAGTTCTGATTCATATGATTATGTAAGTGTAAATTTTATTTATACTAGTTTTCTATACTTTCCCATATATCGATGTTTGAAGTTAAAAGAAAACGCTTTGTGTCGCCCCATGTTTCAAACTAGAAATCGTCATCAGATTTCTAGTCTGCCAATCTCTACAGTTTATGTGACTGGGTTCCCAACTAGTATTCAGTTTCCTTTCATTCACAAAATGTTTTACCTGATTATTATGTGAATGAACTGTACTTCACACTAAATATCGAATGTGATGTTTTCTACTCAATCGAAAATTGAACAGAACTACATAAAGTAGACTGACTGTTTGATTCATAATTAAACTGTCCCTATTTGTCCTAGTTGTAAGATTCTGTTATTCATGTAGAATCTATGCAAGAATTCTAATTCAAACATTAAGCTACGTGAAAAATAGAAGGCGGTTCGTTTAGAAGTACGGTACCATCATAGAAATAATAATTAACTAAGTAATCAATTTAAGAAAACCTGACAATGAAGTGTCATCGTTTTAGACCAAATTTTCGAACCATAACTATAATGGCCGATCAATGTCTTTGAAACTATTGAATAACATCAAAACCACAAGATTACTGCAAGTTCGAAAATAGCACATGACTTTACCAGATAGAAAAATGTCAACAGTTAAATATGTAATAAATAGTTTAAGTATTCCTACTGTAAGTGTTAACAACTGCATTTGATGATTTTTCGTTAAAGCAAAAGGTATTGAGTTCAAGTCCATGTTTGAACACTGGGATTTAGTTGATGTGTCCTAAATAGGACAATACATATCCTTTATTTTACTGCTAGCCACAATTCAACTGTACCAAATCAAGGAGTTAACAAAACTTACGTAGGTACTGTGTTTGAAAAAATAGGTGGACTAAACGTGAGCAATAAGATTTCAAAAGACATGCTTCCAAAATGTAAATGCGATTGTCTCAGGATTAGTATTCCTTCCCCTCTCATCTACATAAACCGTCATTTAGAATAGCTGCATTTTTCAAACCTAGATTAAGTACACAATATCAGATTAGTGAATTATGATGGTAACTTATTTGTTTATTTATTTAAACACATAAATAGTGGTACAAAGGGGCACCAGATAAACATGCGCCTCACAAATCTCATTTGATTTGCGTGTGGGCTGTGATACTGCCCAGGTGACCAGACTGAAGCAGATGGTTTTCTTAGGGCTCCACACTCGGATCCTTTTACCTGAAGGTCTAGTCCACAAGGCAGTGGAGCATCGTGAGGAGATGCAGTCATATGGTAGACGGCGACCAACGATTGATTTCTACGACATTTGTTCCCTCAGGATACTGGAGCCCATGTGCACCATTGGTTTATAATCAGGGTTTTCCAACTCCTCTAGGTGGACTTTCGGTGTCCACCAACCCAGTTAAAGCACTGGACATTCGCTTTTCGTCCTCTCAATTTCGTAAACAACAGTAATGCCATGAGAAGGCAGTGAGTAGGACTTCCCTGACAGAGGCTATATATTCGCGTGGCCATGTGAGAGCATTTCGAGAGGAAGGGTGGACTCTCCCCACTCTCGATCGTACCAGGGCATTTGGGGGCATTACGGTAACTAGTTCAATACTTTTTCATACACTTTTTCTCAAAATCGTTTATCAACCATTTGTGCGTTGTTCGAGGTAAACCATGGTTGTACAGTTTATATGAATTAAGTTTCAAATCTATTTCCTACGTCTACTACATCTATGGTTCTAATTTTATTCCGTTTTCGCGGAAATATCCATTTCCGTATCATTGACTAATGTTTATCCCACCTTGCCTTCTCGTGGCGGGGGTGTTGTTTACAAAATCGAGAGGACGAAAAGCGAATGTCCGGTGCTTTAACTGGGTTGGTGGACACTTTGAGTCCACCAAGAGGAGTTGGAAAACCCTGATTCCAAACCAATGGTGCACATGGGCTCCAGTATCCTGAGGGAACAAATGTCGTAGAAATCAATCGTTGGTCACCGTCTACCATATGACTGCATCTCCTCACGATGCTCCACTGCCTTGTGGACTAGACCTTCAGGTCAAAAGCTCCGGGTGTGGCCCCGCAAGAAAATCACCTGCTTCGGTCTGGGTATCCGGGCAGTATCACAGCCCTCACACAAATCAAATGAGATTTGTGCGGCGCTTATGTATTCGGTGCCCTTTGTACCAATATTTGTGTTTAAATAAATAAATAATAACCCTACATTATTTGCATTCACTAGATTTCTTGGGATTTTATTGTTTGATTGTTTTGTTTTAATACGTTTTACAGAATGTTCGAGATGAAACACCAATCCAAATTTTATTCTTATTAGTCGATGAAATATTTGATTTACATAGAGAAAGTCAATTTACGAGACAAGGAAATTTCGCTATATTACGCAAAATATTCCAAACATTTTTTGGTATTCGAGTTAATAAAATGATCATTGCCAAAGTAAGTTGTGACATATATTCTTGTATGTTCGTATGTACCTTCGTTTTGGGGTTAATCTTCATCGTGCTGTTTAGGTATCTGATCATACTACATGAATTATATGTACACAGTGGCTGTCATATGTAGGCTGATGAACAGTTAACTATGAAATATCGCTATTACGTGTGTATACTGATAAACAATGCATGCTGCAACAGATAAACTTTTTATAGTTTGTGTGGGATTTAATCCAATAAAATTTGATTGTAGCTCAGTAAGGACGTACATATACGAATATTTTGCTTTAAGTTTCACTATATATAAGTGCTATTAAAAATTGCCTTCACAAGTGTTCTAATCGATGTAGAATATTGAATGAACCTCGTGTACTTTGACCACTGAGCTGATTTCTGCACAAATAAAGGCTCAAGAAATAAGAAAAGAAAACTTATTGAAATACTTTGTTCTGAGAATTCTATATTGTACCTAAAATATAATATTGAATAAAGCCACTAGTAATAATAATAATAATTGATTACATTATTATTAGTATGGATCTTGGTAATTCCTTTATCGACAATTGAGTCCCGATACATTGAGCTAACGAGTTCTAAATAGGATGAAACAGGCTTCTTGGATTCCATTGTATTATATTTGAAGCGTTTCGAATTCACTAGTCAGCGAACGGAACAAAGACTTGTGACCAGAGACCGATAAGCTAGCTATTCTAACGCGTCCCAGACCCAGCTAACTAGAGTAAGAAGTCCAAGTTGGAAGCGAGGAAAATATATTCCGTAAGCAGCCAGAAGCACAGCAATCGTAAGGGAAAAAAATCAAACGTAAATACACAGCATAAAATTGTCCTTGGGCATCATTACAAAATAGCACACTAAAAGATACAACGGACCAATAGCGTTTAAGATATTTTACAAGTGGGAAATACGACTCGAAGGTGAAAAGAGTGCTTTTAGCACGAAAACAAAGAAATTCAAATTTTCAAAATAAAATTACAAAAAAAAGCCATTTACCAAGTGAGTTCTGGGGATTTAACATCCCCAAAACATTATTAGCCATTATTCATCTGTTAAGAATATTGATATCATGAATGATGTTTATATCAAATTATACAGGGAAACAAAGTTGCTTGTCTTTTGTATTATTCAGTATTTTTTTTGTTTTTAAAAAGGCTTGTGAATGGACAAGTGCACCAAAGATCACTCAACTAATTACTTATTTACGTGATTATTTTTGGCCTCCCAAAAATAAATCATCAAATACTACAGCTTTAACTGAACGTGACAAAGAGATGAAATTACGTACTCGTGTTCTTTGTAGAACTGTACTACTGGGAAGTATTTCTGGTAGGTAAAATGTTTGTTGTCTTTTTGTTCTAGTTATTCATATAATTGTAAAGGTACGGTCAATATTTTTCTCTACTGTTTTCAACCTTCAAACTTATGCATCAAAGTGTCCCTCTAGTATGACTGACTGCATCTGAACGTTCTACTTTTTGGAGTATCACTAATAAATTTAGACCTCTAAATTGTTCTCGTTTTAAGATGGAGATCATAAATTAATGTTGATATTCGTCGTATTTATGATGCAAAGACTGCAATTACAGCGCATATTTACCCACTCTATATAAACATATAAATATGTATTACTAGGAGTTAATGACAAGTATTCAGGGATGATTGTTGTTGTGATGTATGGTATTCGAAAGCTGTTACTGATACACGGTATGCTGTGTGCTAACCCCCCAACCGACTGCTTGGGCGAGAAAGTGTATTAGGATACCGAATAAAATGAACAATTATTTATATATATACCACTCTATTCTCAGTAAATTGATCCCAATGAAATGCACTTGACTTTTATAACACTTAAAAACAAGGAATATTAAAGCGAACGGTTGTTTTCTATAACTTTATTGTCGGGCTCTACAGTTATAATAATCAAAACAAAGCATGTCAGCGACCTTCTCAACACAACCTGTACCTAGGCAAAAAATCAAAGATAAAATATTGATCATGAGATTTTCCATATATACATACTAAGTTGTCTGCTCCTGTGTAAGTATTTACGTAGCTCTACTCAGGTTTTATCCTTGAGTTCTCTAGAACATTTACTAGTATGGTTTAAGGAAAGGATTTTACAAAATCTATTAACAGAGCCAACCTTTCTTATTTGGTAGATAACAAACATCACCTTAAATATGTGAAGCTTTCTCAGCTTTGTATCGAGTCCCCAACAGGCTGTTTAAAGAAGCGAGATTATGACATATCTACATAGTGTAAGCCATTTGTTAGGATATTCACAAGAATATCCCAAAAATTATCTCGAATGTAAAATGGTATGTTTCCAGACTCTTCACATAATTCGCATGTTATTTCCTATTGGCCATTATTTACAGTGTCCTAACTATGACTTTCATGTGTCGTTTCCCTATTGGTCAATTTTGAGTCGTCCTAATTATAACCTTTACGTGTCCTTTCTTTCCATTGGGTACTGTTAATATTCATCGTAACTGTATAAATATGCCTTGTCTGTAAACCATTTTTGTTCTGCTGCTGACCCCCATAAACAATTCTCATTTAACGGCTGTGTTCTGATTTATTGGAGTTGGGAAACAGTATTGGGGTCGAACTAGGATATCTGAATTTGGTCAATCGGTAGAATTTCGCGTAGTCCTATCGCAATACGTTATATTTCACTTTATAACAATTTGGCGACGGAGATTTTGCAAACAAGTTGCTGACTAGCTATGGATCCAGTTAAATTAGAAGAATTGTTCAAGCAACAGCTGAAGCTGATGGAGATGCTTACTCAGACGCAGATCTCTTCTCGAGTCTCATGTACACCAACAATCCCTCAATCAGTCGACGGTATTACTAGTGGTATTTCAGAGTTTCTTTATGATCCTGATGCCAATATTACATTTGATACCTGGTTCAGACGTTATGAAGATCTTTTTAAAGTCGACCTTGCTGACAGAGATGATTCGTGGAAGGTGCGTCTTCTCCTTCGAAAACTTGGTCTATCAGAGCTTGATAAGTATTGCAACTACATTCTACCGCAGAACCCACGAGACCGTTCCTTCGTTTTTTCGAGATCGTTCCTTCAAACTCTCAGTCAACTTTTTGGTGACCATCATTCACTTTTTAATACGCGTTATCGCTGTTTAAAACTGGTCATGAACGAGTCCGATGACTTCTTAACCCATGTTGGCATTGTCAACCGTGAGTGCGAACGGTTCAAGCTCAAATCCCTTACCGACGACCAATTCAAATCCCTCGTATTTATATGTAGTCTTCAATCACCCAAATTCTCCGACATCAGAACTCGATTGCTGAACCGCCTTGAACAAGATCCAACGCTGACACTTAATGCAATCACCGACGAGTATCAACGCATTGTCAACCTGCAGTGTGACACCACTTTGGTCCAATCTGGGGGCCAGGGTGGTTCCGAAGTTCACGCTGTTCAACGTCAAAACAAACCTCCGAGATCAAAGACCTGTGGTCCTACGGAAGCCAGTGCTCCTTCTTTTCCTAATTACTCCAGACCGGTTCACAAGAAGCCCCCTTCTCCATATTGGCACTGTGGAGCCTGGCATTATGTGAAAGTTTGTCCATTCAAACAGCAGGTGTGCGATCGCTGTCATAAAGTTGGTCACAAAAGCGGTTTTTGTCAATCCCATCGACCCAATAGTCGTCGAAATGCACAGACGCAACGTCGTTATACTAAAAAGCAGCTTCCCTCATCAAGGAGTTTAGCAGCAGTCTTTCACACTCATGCCGCCACGCGACGCAAATTTCTAACCCTCTCAATCAATGGTCAGCCAGTTCGATTGCAGTTGGACACTGCATCAGATATCACTATCCTGTCGAAAGATACTTGGCGAACCTTGGGTCAACCTCCCATCAAACCATCTTCACAGACAGCTGTTAGTGCATGTGGTGGTCATCTCCGACTTCATGGTGAACTTAACTGCTGTATTTCGTTCAGAGGTATAACCTTCAATGGTACGTGCTACATCACCAAATCCCCTCTCAATCTTCTGGGTTTAGATTGGTTCGAAGAAATTGGTCTTGCCAATCTACCTATCAGCACTATCTGTAATCAAGTAAAAACTCTTGCTACTACACAACAGCATGCTGCAGACCTCCAAAAACGATTCATTGAACTCTTTCAGCCTGGTCTTGGTCTTTGTTCCACAACTGAAGCTGTTTTGAAACTTCAGCCAGAAGCTACGCCAGTTTTTCGTCCAAAACGTCCAGTCCCATATGCATCCCTACCTCTGGTCGACGCTGAACTTCAACGTTTGGAAACTGAAGGTGTCCTTGTACCTGTTTCTTACTCTTCATGGGCTGCACCAATTGTGGTTGTCAAAAAGTTTAATGGTTCCATACGCATCTGTGCATATTTCTCTACAGGACTCAACGCGGCGCTACAACAGCATCATTATCCGCTGCCGATCCCAGATGATTTGTTTACTATTTTAAATGGTGGTACCTACTTCGCTAAGCTAGATCTCGCGGATGCTTACCTTCAAATTCCTGTCGCTCGCGAATCGAGAGAACTGCTGACAATCAACACTCACCGAGGTCTTTTCCAGTATACCCGATTACCCTTTGGTATCAAGACTGCTCCAGCGATATTCCAGCAGATTATGGATACTAATCTGGCAGATGTTCCTGGTGTTGCTACGTATCTTGACGACGTCCTCATTGTCGGCTCAACTGCTGATGAATTGCATTCCAGAACATATTTAGTTCTACAACTCCTCCAAGATAATGGTTTTCGCCTTCGTTCAGAGAAATGCCAATTCTTTCTACGCTCCCTTAAATACCTGGGGTTTATCTTTGATGCTTCTGGACGACATCCTGATCCTCAAAATACTCATGCAATCCAGCAAATGCCTGCTCCCACTGATGTCTCTTCACTGCGATCATTTTTGGAAATGGTTAGCTACTATTCAGCATTTCTACCATCACTACATGAGGTACGATATCCATTAAATCATCTGCTAGAAAAGAATGCTACTTGGAATCGGTCCACGCAATGTGAATCAGCTTTTTCAAAACTTAAAGCCATGTTAAGTTCCAAACTACTGTTAACCCACTACAATCCGAAACTACCAATTGTAGTTGCTGCTGACGCTTCAACCCATGGACTGGGTGCCGTACTACTGCATGTTTTTCCCGATGGTTCACAGAAAGCAGTGATGCATGCTTCGAGAACACTAACAGCCGCTGAAAAACGTCATGGTCAAATCGAGAAAGAAGCCTTAGCTCTGATTTTTGCTGTCCGGCGTTTCCACAAATTCATTTACGGGCGCCGTTTCACTTTGCTCACAGACCATAAGCCGCTGTTGTCAATTTTTGGATCAAAGAAAGGCATTCCTGTTCATTCTGCTAATCGTCTTCAATGTTGGGCGTTGGCGTTACTGAGCTACGACTTCGACATTCAGTATCGACGTTCTGAAGATTTTGGTCAAGCGGATGCATTGTCCAGACTTATCAGCAAGCACTCTACAACTGATGAGGATACACTCATAGCCACAATAGCAACGGATGATGATTCTGGTGCAACACTATTGGCGAATGCCGTGCGAGCTATGCCTGTTACGGCTGAAAACGTTCGAGAAGCTACCAGAAACGACCCGATTATTCGAGAAGCAATCACTTATGTTCAGAGCCGATGGCCAGTTAAGCAGTTCAGTGGTGAGATGCTACACCTAGCGAATCGTCGCAGCGCTCTTTGTGTTGTCAATGACTGTCTGATGTTTGGTGACCGTGTAGTAATTCCAACAACCCTGCGTGCCAAGGTCCTACGCCAATTTCACGCTGGTCATCCAGGGATAAACCGTATGAAATCTATCGCTCGTAGTTACGCATACTGGCCGAACATGGACAAGCAAATTGTCGACTTCGTCAAAACATGTCCACATTGTCAGACAGCTGCGAAACATTCTCCTAAGTTGCCACCAGTACCCTGGCCCAAGTCAGAAAAACCCTGGTCGCGAGTGCACATTGATTTTGCCGGACCCCTAGATGGTACCATATATCTGATACTGGTCGACTCCTTCTCCAAATGGCCGGAGATATTGCCGATTGCACCACCCGCTACAACTCGAACCATCCAACTCCTTAACCAGATCTTCGCTCTGCATGGTCTGCCAGAAACAATAGTAACAGACAATGGTCCGCAGTTTACATCCAGTCAGTTTCGAGAATTTTGCTTGCAAAACTCGATCAATCATGTCCGTTCTCCGCCCTACCATCCGCAATCTAATGGACAAGCTGAACGCTTCGTCGATACATTCAAACGTGCCATGCTTAAGGCAAGAGGGGAGGGAACAACACACGATATTATAGGACGATTTCTAATTGTGTACCGGACGACTCCTCATGATTTATTTCCGAACTTCAAATCCCCTTCGGAGGTACTTATGGGACGGAAGCTACGAACAATTCATAATGCAATGACACCCAGGCGAGTAGCCCAACAGAGTCCTCACATGAAGAATACCCGAATTCCTTACGAAGTTGACGCAAAAGTGTATGTGCGGGACTATAGACATGGGTATGATAGATGGATAGAGGGTGAAGTCGCAAAGAGACAGGGAAGGTCATGTATGAGGTCAGAGTAAACAAAGAAATCTGGACCAGGCATCATAATCAACTAAGGCCAAGAGAAGCCAAGAAAAAAATTGAAGTTACGAAACGCATCCCACTCGATTTATTACTGGATACTTTCCAACTTCCGCCAATACCTACAACGGAGGCAACTCAGTCATCTAATCAAGCAGAAAATTCTTCAAGTTCTCGGTCGTTACCTCGAAGGAGGTCGGGACGCAAACGCAGAAAACCAAAGAAATTTCAGGTAAACCCACGATTGCGTCGCTATTAATTTTCTCCAAGGGGAGGTGTTAGGATATTCACAAGAATATCCCAAAAATTATCTCGAATGTAAAATGGTATGTTTCCAGACTCTTCACATAATTCGCATGTTATTTCCTATTGGCCATTATTTACAGTGTCCTAACTATGACTTTCATGTGTCGTTTCCCTATTGGTCAATTTTGAGTCGTCCTAATTATAACCTTTACGTGTCCTTTCTTTCCATTGGGTACTGTTAATATTCATCGTAACTGTATAAATATGCCTTGTCTGTAAACCATTTTTGTTCTGCTGCTGACCCCCATAAACAATTCTCATTTAACGGCTGTGTTCTGATTTATTGGAGTTGGGAAACAGTATTGGGGTCGAACTAGGATATCTGAATTTGGTCAATCGGTAGAATTTCGCGTAGTCCTATCGCAATACGTTATATTTCACTTTATAACACCATTGAAATCAAGTCCAAAAGATCCACGTTAAGTTTCCAAAAGAGGTATTTTCAACCACAGTGTTTACTTTGGTTCCCTATTGAATCATCAACTAAATGTTGTAAACCTTTACCATTCCTATTGTAATTCGTTTTACGTTCATCTTCTTATTGTCCTGTTCTTGATTTGTAATTTCATCTTTCATGATTCACACGGACTTATTATTATAATTACCCTGATAACAGCTTCTTTATTTCACATTACACTCACACAACTTTAATATTTATTTATTATTCCACAGAATTTATTTTCCTACCCTGTTTGTTAAATTGTTACATCCTTGATCTGTCGACCCACTTTCGTGCCGAGGCTAACTTGTCTAATGTAGACTAAGACCTTTACGCGATGGGCTAACTGGTTTAACCTTGAGGCTAGTATGCGTGAGTTCGAAGTGGGGATAGAGAGACGTAAACTATTCTATCACCTGACTGACTGACAGGCACGCAAGAGAGAGAAGACAAGTCAACTGGAACACTACTCGATTTACTCCTAATTCCGATCCGGTTCCTGATTTCAGATTAATGTAAAAAGATACATGAATAAATAGATGACTAACTGGACCACAACGTACAATAATAAGGAAAATACAATTATATCCGAAACTGGGGTATAATAGTAGAATAAAGAGTACAAAAGGTTACATCTAAGTTACAATAGCTTTGGAATAGAAAAGGCTATGGCAGTGAATTATACATCAAACGAAAGCTTATAGAATAGACTAGGGAAGAAACTAAATGTTAAAGTTTTACAAGCTTTAAATTAAATGAAATAACGTCCCCAAAAATAGCTTGTTTGTTAAGGCTTCTTGCTTCTCTGTTCACAACATAAATGATCGTTCTTATTTATAAACTAAAATTTTTTGAAGTATTTGTACTACAGCAGATGAAAATCTTCACCACTTTTTGACCGCATAACATTGTCCAATAAACTTATTTACATTGCCCTTATTACAATACAATAATTATGAACTTATAACTGTGGAGCTTGTTGATGATGTTATTAAAAACAATAGTTGGTTGCAGTATTTTTTTGTTTTCGAATATTCTACGAAGGCCTTCAAATATTTGCATATTCTTCCTATTTATATCCTTTACGTTATCTATTTTTCCATTTGTTGCTGATTCTTTCTGAATCATTGTATATTGGGTACTTCGGCCACGCTCCCGATGTCACGTAGACCACTACTACTAATGTAATTTCTTTTTTAGCCACTTCAAGAAAGAGTATCCCTTCTCAGTGAATGTAAAAAAGAAATAACAACTTCCCATACATCACCTCTAATATGATTCGTGATCACCTTCAAATAAAAATATCCAGCATTCTCTACTGTGCATTATCATGTGTTAAACCTCACATTTTGAATTGTTCTATAATAAAATAATAATTTCACGTAGTATTATTTGTTTGAATCTTCCCATTGATGTTTTAGGACTGCAACTGGTCAGTCTCTAATTGGCATATGTGCATACAGTGCTCATTGCCTCGATATAGTTTTAATTCACAAGCATGGTAAGCAAAGATGGATAGTGGCTAGCAGTGGAATCTAGTTTGACGCGCGTTTCGTCCTATTTGGGACTCGTCAACTGGATGTACCTGCATCTCGGAGTTGATGTACATTCTGAGACTCGAACCCGGTACCTTTCGCTTCAAATGCCATCACGTTATCCACTTGGCCACTGAGTCCTGATATCCACATGCTTGTGCAATGGGGTGAAGTTTAATTTCACAGTTGAATTCATGGGTCAATTGGAGCTGGACCACCATCGAAAACCTAGAAGCACTGTACGGCCGTTTCGTCCTATTATGGGACTCCTCAGTAGTGCGCGTCCACGATCCCGCACTAGGACGAAACGGCTGTCTAGTGCTTCCAGGTTTTCGATGGTGATATAGTTAGATTTCAACAATATATCTATTGAACTAAAGTTGGTTGGTTTATGACTTAATGTAATTTTCATCTTCAATCATTTTACTACTCTAATTTTAATTCAGTAATATTATGTTACATAAGTAAATATGTACACATAATTTTGATAATTTTTTAGAGGAATTTGCACAGTTTCTTGGAAATGAAACTACTCGTCGTGGTGTATCATGTGTATTCAATATGCTTCAAGAAGAACGTTTCAATCGTAGGTTTGTACATACAGTATTAGAAGCATTTCTATGTCAATTATTTCGACCATATCATACATATTGGGAAGCTATTTATGAAAAAAATTTATGCCCATTAAAATGTGGACGAGCATGTCGTTCACATAAATGATGTGTTTAAATGAAACGTACAATATTCACTTCGAATAATTTCTTTTCATAAAGACTCTACTTCTTGATTACATCAATAGAATGATTTCAAGAAATATATACAGAATTCATTCAGTGCTTAGTGAGACAATCTGTTCAGTTTTTTGGGAGTGTATGGGTTGATTCTCTAGACATAGTCGTATTATCTGTTTATTCTCTTTATTGTCACTCACTTGTGCGACTCCGTCTAGTATGTATTATAATATATTACCTACTAATATTCTTATGTAACTATTATGGAAAGAACTTCTTTGACTTCATTTTAACACGTATAAACTCCCATAGATAACTTATGAACTAAACGATATGAAATGTATTACTTTACGTGATCATGAATAACTTTGGAGTTTGCGTGCAACCTCATCATTTGATCTGATTCCTTGGATAGATTTATAATAGTATTGTTACATATGATTAAGATCATCAGTCAACTATATAGAATTACTGAAATCTCCACAAAACCCCCTTCTGACATATCATTAAACTTGTTATTAGTTTTAATTGATAGCAGTCTGTGATCAAATAGTTATTTCCCTATATTCTTTTATAACTTATTTCACATCAATGAATCCCTAAATCATTATACTATTGATTATTGTATAATGACCCATAAGTTTTTTGTTTTCTAATCTCCTTTCATTTACCATTTTATTATGTATGCTTTGATTCAACTTAGCATAGTTGACACAATCAATCATCAATCGATCTTTTCTCAATACATCTTATTTTAGTTGTCTGTCTTGAAATTATTCCTGTAATCTCGAATAATTTGTACAGTATGTTGAATATCTCTTCTTTGTTTTTAATTGTCTATCTGATTTCACCTATTTCTGTTGACTTTGTGTATATGACTGGGGGGGGGAATGGATATCAATTCATCCGTTGTTGTTATTTATTTGAATGAACATGTGTAAAATTAGTTAGTATTCAATGGTCATTGTACCGTAAAGATGACTGTTTTTTATTTTTTATTCTTCACTGTTACTAAATGTAATATATATTATTTAGTTATCTAACTAATTTATTCTTTAGTCAGCCGAATTCATATTGACTACCTACCTGTGCAATAAAATTGTGTTTTCAAAGACATGTCAAAACTTTTCACTGAATAATCAGAAATCTAGGATGGAATTATTATTTAGTTCCTTTGAATAACGGGTAACTAGGTTGCCCTGATACGGCTGCGAGTGGGGAGAGTTCGCTCTCCCTTTCGAGATGCTCTCACATGGCCACGCGAATATAGCATCTGCCAGGGAAGTTCTACTCACTGCCTTCTCATGGCATTAATGTTGTTTACGAAATTGAGAGGACGAAAAGCGAATGTCCGGTGCTTTAACTGGGTTGGTGGACACTGTGAGTCCACCTAGGGGAGTTGGAAAACCCTGATTCCAAACCAATGGTGCACATGGGCTCCAGTATCCTGAGGGAACAAATGGCGTATGAATCAATCGTCGCTCACCGTCTACCATGAGACTGCATCTCCTCACGATGCTCCACTGCCTTGTGGATCAGATCTTTAGGTCGAAAGCTCCGGGTGTGGCCCCGCAAGAAAACCATCTGCTTCGGTCTGGACAGCCGGGCAGTATCACAGCCCTCACATAAATCAAATGAGATTTATGTGGCGCATATATATCTGGTGCCCCTTTGTACCAATATTTATGTGTTTAAATAAATAAAAAATGTGCGCCAGCCTACGTTGCTTTACCATATCACCACAGCGAGAAGAAACTACCGAGATGAGTAAAAATAGAGTCGAGATAATCAACTAAATGCTTTAGTTTTCTTAACTGACTGATAGATACCGTTTGTTGATTGGAATCTGGATGAGAACTCTTTACCCCGAGCATACTTTCTTGTCTTTAGACTAACGTCTTACGTTTTGGACAAGACACCCCTTTATTAAAAGTGGTTAACCTTTGGCTGTGGTCCAAGTATTCAGTTCACACAGCAACAGACAAGCTCCTATCCTTGTTTAGGCAACCAGTTATTAAACTAAGCACTCAAGAATTACCAAAGCACAATACAAATCAAATAGGAAATTGTAGTTTACGCAAATCATAAATGGCGGAGAACGGAACAGGTGAATAATTAACTCGCAGTAATTAAGGGATAGTAAAATGTATAGCAATAAGTGATGAGTCTAACGAGAGTTTACAATACGGGGAGTGCAGAAATAAAATGACTTATTTCATAGTTGTACAATAAAAATCTAGATAACAATGATCCGGGAAATAGTTCCAAATGTCACCACTTTTCCAACATTCCCTCTGTTACAACATTAGTATTAGTATCAATTAGAGTGAGCAAGTGAAGAACACGGTCTGAGAGGTAGTAATGAAAACGTAGGTAGGAAGGGATAATGAAAGTGTCTAGAGGAAGATAAAGAATGATTGCATCTGAAGCGGGTTCGGAAGCATTTCACCTAAGTCGGCCACCCACTAATCACGGGGTATGGGAATAAGATATATGCTAAAAGAATTTGACGCAAATATGTATAAAAACGAAAATAGGAGTTTATTCAGAATTTACAAGAGATAATTCTATTATTTGTTGATAAGTCCACCAGCGAATGATAGATCGACTGGTGAGTCATTGCGTGTTGCGTATACTCAACTACGGCTTACCTCTAAGCGAGATATTAGCTAGGATAGGAGTAGGATAAAAAGAAACTAGGAACGGCTAAACCAAGACGTAGCATCAATCCATGCACTCATTAACTAATGAAGTCATGTTAGTACATGTAGACCAGCTGGTTGGGGTGGGGTCAATAGTTGGAGACATCGCATGACATTGGTCGGTGCCATAAGTGCACCCTGTATGTCCCTTTAGATATTGAGTCCCAGTATTCCTTCATGCATACGTTTTTAGTGTTAGTTTTTGCATTGTATTCTTCATTACGTAGTCCTGCTCACTATTACTGGTGGTATATTATTTTGACTACTTCTCTATTCATCTTGGTAATTTGTTATAAAGCTGATTTTATTTGGAGACGTACGATTCGTACCTGATGTATGACCAGCGAAAGTAAGATGCGACCGGGCATTAAATGAAGACAAAAGCGACCCACTTTAGCCAAATGTTGTGACACCACTTAGCGCTGTGGTTTCCTTTCTATGAATTATCGCTACTAACTTAACTGTGTATTAAACTCTGTGTGAACTGCTAGCAACTATGTTAAACAAATGATTTTCTGGTCTGTTAACTCATTTTCAGTTGTCGATCGTGAATTCTACAGTTGGATAAAACGTATCAAGTCATAGTATTATCCTATTATATGCTGAGTATGTAAAAAAAATTTTTTCGTTACAACAGTATTAGGCTTCGTATCCAATATAAGCAAATGACTGTTAATCCTTTTATAGACTATAAGCGTATGAGTGACAGTGCCCCCAAATGCCCTGGTACGGCCGAGAGTGGTGACAGTTCGCTCTCTCTCTCGAAATGCTCTCATATGGCCACGCGTATGTAGCCTCTGTTAGGGAAGTACTACTCACTGCCTTCTCGAGGCATTACTATTGTTTACGAAATTGAGAGGACGAAAAGCGAATGTCCGGTGCTTTAACTGGGTTGGTGGACACTGTGAGTCCACCTAGGGGAGTTGGAAAACTCTCATTCCAAACCAATGGTGCACATCGGCTCCAGTATCCTGAGGGAACAAATGGCGTATGAATCAATCGTTGGTCACCGACTACCATGGGACTGCATCTCCTCACGATGCTCCACTGCCTTGTGGATCAGATCTTTAGGTCGAAAGCTCCGGGTGTGGCCCCGCAAGAAAACCATCTGCTTCAGTTTGGGCACCTGGGTAGTATCACAGCCCTCACATAAATCAAATGAGATTTGTGCGGCGCATATGTATCTGGTGCCCCTTTGTACCAATATTTATGTGTTTAAATAAAATAATAAATAAGTGACATAGTATATTAAAACAATAATCAGTTGATATCTTATTTAACAAGAGTTAATCATTTCTAGACTTAACTACTGGAATCTGATGATAAATCTGGTTCTTTATTAGATCCTAAATTTGATTGATATATACGTAAATCTTCTTGATATTTCTTTTTTAATTCATCAACTCTTGATTGATAACTTGATTTTGCTGTACTATCCATATTTCGCCAAATCTCTCCAGCAGCTTTAGCTACTTCGGCAACAGAATTTTGTCCGCCTAAATTTTTAGCAATTTTCTCTCTATTCTCATTAAACCATAAGAAATAAGCAGAAAGTGGACGAGTTGGTGCATTAGGATCTTTAGGTTTTTTTTGTTTTTTTGTTTGTCGTTTTGATGGTTGTTTTGTTTCATCTTTACGTGATTTAACTGTTGATTTCTTTGGTTCTTCTTTCAACTTTTTTTGTTTTGGTTTAGGTTCACTAGTACTACTTACACTTGACAAGCTGTCTTTATCTTCATCACTATCATTGTCTTGTTTATCTTTTTTCTTGTGTGTAGTAGTATTCTTACTACTAGTGTTCGTTTCGTCCTCTTCCGAATCATCGTCATCATCGTTTTCTCCAGATTCATCTTCACTTGTAGTTGTTTGAACATTACTATCATATTCTTCTGCAAGTTCAGAACCATCAGATTCCGGTGGTTTGAAATCTTCATCATCTTCATCGTCGTCATCGTCATCATCCATTTCAGTTGTTCGTTCTCGAGCCTCTGTCTTTACTTTCTCCATATAAGCATCATGTGATTCATCAGATGATGACCAAACGTCATTACCAGGATTAGTAGTTTTGTTTTCCGAACTGATATTTTTAACACGAAGTTTTTTAGCAGTTACAAAATCGTACAAATGATGATATTCATCTCTTTCGATAGAAGTGAATGTATGTGTTAAACCATTACGAGTTTCCACCTATAGATGGAAAAAATATATCAAGACATTTGATTTTTTTAAGAAATATAAAAATTAAACACCAGGGATATATATATATATATATATATATATAATATGTTGATTAAATCGAATATATTAATCAAATGCGTTCTCGAAAAATGGATCAAAACCGAATTTCGGATAAACTACTTGGTCGATTGTACGGATAATTCTCGTAAACTAATCATTTCTTTCTCCTAAAATGTTTGATTAGGTTTAGTGATATACTATAAGTTAATTAACCATAGATAAGAACATCAACACAACAGAATATAAAAGCATTTTTGTATATTTAGATTAGGTTCGATACGTATCTACGGTGATTGCTGGTTACGGAACAATTAGGCCTTGGAGATTTATGATGGACTCAACAGAACCACGACTGGCACACAACACTGTGACAATAATCCCCAACAATGGAACTCAGAAGGATTACATTGTTCGCATTCAAATAAGGGAATTATTTTGAGGTCAGTAAATTATTGACTTTCGAAAAGCATGGCGGTGTAATGATATAATGATGATTGAATTATTTGGATACCTATGGAAGGGATCTCGTGTTTTGTGCATGTTGTTGTACGTGAAATAATCTTGGTGACAAGCCGCTCTGAGAAGTTTATGCATTAGGTTGATCAGGTGTTTTTCACGTAAAAAATAATTCCCACACTTTTCTTCTATCATATATATATAACTTCTAAAAAATATCAAAACAGACTATATGTTTTTTTTTTAACTGGCTAAACAACTGGAGTTCAATTTGAATATGATAGTTAACGTACCTCAAAATCAAAAGATCTTTGAGCACCTGTCCCACGGGAAAACTGTACAGCTACTATTTCGTCGAAACGTATGGAAATCGGAGGACGGGGAACGAATGTAAAACCTCTCTCTAATGGATACAACAAACCAACAGAAGCTTTATAACTGCATGCAACTGCACAACCACCGCCTTTTGCAGAGAAGCTTCCGGGGACTGTAACTTTCTGATCATACAGAACCTGTGTATAATGAGATAATCAAAAGAAAGAAACATGAGGCAAAACGCTGAGATAGAAAGCTACAACTTGAAAATATGGGTACTATATGTGACGTGTATAAAACATTCCATCAAATTTCGTAAAACTATGTTAACTTTATACATCATTGTTTTAGCTGGTCCAGATGGATTGGCTCTAGAGGTCTTTAAATATGGTGGTCCAATTTTAGCGA